TCGGAGTATATTTATCGGAGAAGATCTGTGGCGTGGTTATCAAATGAAGAAAACATGGCAGTATTTTTTCTACTTCTCTACTACTCTCAAACCTTGACATTTTGTGAAAACTTTTTTCCAATCCACCTTTTTTTGAAACATCCTCAACAACCACAATTAATTCTGTGATTAAACATCCGAAATAAACACATAAAATCATCAACAGATGCATATCACCAAGTTTTAAGTAGATATTGCTGAATTTGTCTTTATTTTACCATTTTTCATGCAATGCTTTTTGGTAAACCTGTTATCTATCGTAAATACAGCCCATTTGAGTATGTTGTAGTGTAACTTTTTGGCCTCACATTTTTTATATTCGTAGTTAGATCTTTTGGGGCTCTGTCAAACAAAGTTACATACAAAATATTGGTTGTAAGTTGCAAAACATGGTCATGTTGTTGGAATAACTGGGCATTTTACCACTCTTATATCATTCACTGTCGAGAATATTAATGAAACCATAAAATTTAGAACCCGTTTTCGTGAATTTTTTGTTGTAGCTGAATTCGAGGGACAGCATGACAACAGGCAAGAGAAGCACGGTCGCCTTTTTTAGTTTATGGCAGGGTTTCCTAAAAGGGGACCCTGGCCTCCTTGGAGGACACTGATCGGTTATCTGGGAGCAGGAACAAACAGATGGAAATGCGAATATATAATAAGAATGTATTTTTATAGAAGAGAAGAAGAAAAAGTGTTGAGAGTCTTTGGTAGTTTGAAAAGCATTGGCATGGAACATAAGAATGAACTACATTCTTTCCCAGGGATATACTATAAAATGTAGCAATTTTTCATTCTTGTTCTAGTTCTTTCATTCTTATCTTTCACTACATTGTCGTGATCATCCCGCTGCATAAAAATAAAAACTGTATGTCTGAAAACAAGGTTTGGCTCAAAAAGGCCCCTTATCTGCCGGACTATATATGAATATGTATGAATTTAGTAAATAAACATGTCTAATATATTTATCTAAATTTTACTTTCATTTGAAAAAAAATGTAACAAACATTCATTTAATCCAACAAGAACAACAACTTAATAAAAGACAATCAATATGTACATTTCGTGTTTACAAACAACTAAACGAAAAGAATCGGAAGACATAATGACGATCAAGTTATTTTGGAAATATAACCACGAAACCGAGACAAAGTGTACAGCCATGCATGCATATCATCTGCTTGAGAGAAAAAGTGTCTGAGAGGCGCACAAATTGAAATTGTTACGTTTTTATTGCCTTATGGCTAGTTGGCCCATGTTACGGAAATAAACACAGTAATCAATGCTCGCGGTAACATCTATTAAAAACAAATCAAAACAGCAATCATTTTAGAGACTCAACATTGAAAAAATAAAAAATCGCCTAATTTAGTCAGAGAATTCAATATATATACTAAATATTTTCATTTGAATTAGGTATGTATGAATTTAGTTTCAGAATGTTTGAAAAATGAACATGTCTAATACGTTTAAAATTTTTGCTTTCATTTAAAAAAAAACAGTAACAAACATTCATAAGTCTTTTACGATAAAAGATTTTATGGACGTTTCCCGGACCCTTTGACATTCCTCCTTATACTTTACCATTGCAAAATTAGAAACGCTTATTTTTAGAGTGTTTTGGAGGCCAACCATCGTTTCGTTTCAAAACTTTAAACCACGTGTCCTTTATAGGTACTGATATCTAATTTTAGGGTAGTATATCGCAACGTTTACGGTTTGAATTTTTAACTGTTGCAACTAAACCACAAAAACGTGGTATACAACCCTGCTTGAATATCTATTACTTTATTGTTGTATCTGGATAATCTGATACAAAGAAGTGTCAAAGCGGGTCATAAATCTAATTGTTACGTCATTATGAACTTGTTTCTGATTGGTCATTGTGTGGGCAATAAACAGGAAAATCGATTCTCGGGAAACATCCATTATAGTCCGGCAGAATCGGGCCTTAACATTGTTTTGGGACATAAAGTTTTTTTTATTGTTTAGATATAATGTATAGGACATATATAATGATACCCAGGTGGGTGTGGAGTATATAATGTTGAGCAATTTTTTTTAAGTGGATTCAAAGTATTCGGTTCAAGATGACGCACATCCTGAACCCTAACCTGGTAAACATACAATGTTCAGGTTGTGCGCCATCTTGGTACGAATACTTCAGGAGCGCCTTTTTGTTAAAAACAATTTCATAACTACATGGTTTATTTTTGCATACATAGTAACATTGAATCTTCTTACAATGTCAGAAATTCAATTTTAGTAGAATAAATGGTAGTTTATTTCACTAATACAAGCCAAGATCCATCGACAGCATCTAGACACTTTCTATTGCGCTCTCCAAACTACATTTGCGTTGCCGCGCGCATTTCGTTTTCCTAGTTTAAGCTTCGGGACTTGGGAAATATTTTATTAGTTGAATTGGATTGGAATATTTGACCTCGTCTTTCACTCCGAACAAGGCCATGTAAAATCATCCACTGGTAACTAAAGATGTGTAACGTGTTTTCTTTTGGAAGAACCGCAACCTTTCAGTGCTGCATTGACTTTGGCAAAATTAATATATCCTTGTGGAGATAGAAGGTATGCGTATGCGAAACCGAGATGTGCACCTGTTATGCCAACATAGTTGAGTCAAACGTTTTGAATACTAGTACATCACACACATTTTCCTGCGTGCTTCGGTTGTACGTAGTAACGCGCACATTTTTGCGCACATGCATCAAATTCCACTTGATTATTGAGCTATAGGTTTTTAACGAGCTTTTGTGTATGATTTCATTCCATAGAATTTGTATGCTGTTCTAAAGAATACTAGTTTCAGTTTTTTCATTCTTTCAAACCGCGTGTTGAAAGTAAGTTTTGTAATATTGCGTGTTGGTTTCCAACATCCTTAAATCGGTGATGCCAGTAAATCTTTAATACAGAAAGATCAGTAACATCTGCAATAAAAACAGCAGTACCCACTCAAATGACAGCTGGGGGATGTATACTCTTTGTATCTGCTCCATCGCGTGCCTCTTACAGTCTTACCAGTTTACATGAGTGCCAATTGGTATCTAAGCTCAGCCAGAGACAAAAAGTTTCGGACTGCAGCTGGCGTGACGAAATGTTTTTAAATATATATTATACAATAAGATTATTTGATTGCATACTACTGAAAGTTCCGCCTTATATGTCTTTTCCCATTGCACTATTCCTCTACTGATATTCGATAATATGACGCTCATCTGACATAGTTCTTAAAGTGTGTAGATGGGTATAATCTTTTCCACGCTGTTCAGATGGGAATGCGCGAATATATATAAGAATTGCTAATATTGGTTTGCAATGCGATGAAATCCCATCTTGGCATTTCTGCCTCACGCAATTGCTGCGTATACTTATCGGGGGGAAGTTCTGTGGCGGGGTTATCAAATGAAAAAAAAACATTTGGGTAATTTTCCTACTTCTCTACTACCATCAAACCTTGACATTTTGTGAAAACGTTTCTCCATGCAACCTTTTTTAAAACATCCCCAGCAACCACGATTAATTCTGTTATTAAACTTCCGAAATAAACACATAAAATCATCAACATATGCATATCACCAAGTGGATATTACTGAATTGATCTTTATTTTACCATTTTTCATGTAATTCTTCTTGGTAAACCTGTTATCTATCGTAAATACAGCACATTTGACAATGTTGTAGTGTGACTATTTTGGCCTCACATTTTTGATATGTGTAGTTAGAGCTCTTGGGGCTCTGTCAAACAAAGTTCCATACAAAATATTGGTTGTAAATTGCAAAACATGATCATGTTGTTGGAATAACTTGGCATTATACCACCCGTATATCATTCAATGTTGAGAATATTAATAAAATCATAAAATTTAAAAATCCGTTTTCGTGAAATTTTTGTTGTAGCTGAATTCCAGGGACAGCATGACAACAGGCAAGCCTCTTTTAGTTTATGACATGGTTTATTAAAAGGGGACCCCGTCCTCCTTGGAGGCCGCTGATCGGCTATCTGGGAGCACGAACAAACAGATGGAAATGCGAATATATAATAACAATGAATTTTTATAGAAGAGAAGAAGCAAAAGTGTTGAGAGTCTTTGGTAGTTTGAAAAGCATTGGCATGGAACATAAGAATGAACTACATTCTTTCTCAGGGATATACCATAAAATGTAGCATTTTTCTCATTCTTGTTCTCGTGATATCATTATCTTTCTCTGCGTCGTCGTGATCATCCCGCTGCATAACAATTCTCGCTAACAAATAATTGACTGTTCTCCACCGGGTGTATATCCACTTGAACCACTGGCGACTGCATTAGCAGACTTGTATTGTTAATAATTGCAACAAAAACGGGTATTTTGAAATAGTACTCTTTATTTTACGCGTATGTTTCGACAGTATTTCCATATACTGTATATGGGTCGCGACCCAAAGCTGGGCTCAACAAATACCTATGATGTTGATGATTTTATTTCCTAGTAAATTTGATGCTTGCGTAGTTTGTGCACCAAGATTGCGCACAACCTGAACATAGTATTGTAACAGGTTATGATTCAGGTTGTGCGTCATCATGATGCACATGTTTGACGAAAAACTCTAATACAAATATCTCAATAAATACCTAAAAGTTATTGATTTTATTTCCTAGTAAATTTGGTGCTTGCGTAGTTTGTGCACCAAGATTGCGCACAACCTGAACATAGTATTGTAACAGGTTATGATTCAGGTTGTGCGTCATCATGATGCACAGGTTTGACGAAAAACACTAATACAAATATCGAGCCGTAAAAAAAAATTGCTCAAGGCTGCAAACTCCACACCCATGTAGAAATGATGGGCAATGACCCCAAGATGAATAATCACAAATAAAAAAAACTTTATGTCTGAAATCAAACTTGGGCCAAAAAGGTCCCCTTATCTGCCGGACTATTAATACATAACACATGTATCGATACGCTTGATCGCAGACGAAATTTGACTTACATGTGTTGAGCAGTAAGGGTGATTGTATGCTGACTGTTGGTTGCGTTTCCTTGTTTTCTGTTGTACGGTATGCTATCTTTGCTGTAATCAATACGGTATTAACTTGCACAGAGCAAAATGGTGTTCTATTTCACCAGTAATATTTCTGGTACACCTTATACAATTTATATGGGATTGGATAAACATGAAAACGAAGATCTTATTAAATATGGATGGCCAGAAGACGTCTGGTTTCACGTTGACAAATTGTCATCTGCTCACGTTTATCTGCGTTTGAAGCCGAGCGAAGACCTGGATTCGGTGCCATATGAGGTCATTCAGGATTGTGCTCAACTTGTTAAAGCTAATAGTATTCAAGGGAATAAATTGAACAATATTCAGGTGGGTCAGATGCTTATTTATATTGAATACCGGTACCGTTAAACCTTTTTCAAATCTGTAAGTAGAGTAGAGTGGTTGACTTAATCTGCAGTCAACTTCCAGATTCCTTCTAGGCAATATGAAATCTGAACTAGCAAATTGAAACTCTATGGAACGCCCAATGGTTAACATCATACGAAGGTAAAACAGAAGCTAACTGCCTTTGTGCTTAAATAACTGAATAATGCCAAATAAAAAGTGGATGCCTTATGGTACAGTGATAACTGCCTAAATAACAACAACAAAAATAAACTGCAATGTTAAAATATTAATATATTGAGCTATTTGCCATTTCTTGCATGCCATCTGATTTTAGACTGGCAGTAACAGTCATGATTATAGATTCAAATTTGGTCATACCTGAATGTGTTGCATTTTTGTTCAAAAGAAATATGGCTATAGCAGTTCAGAAAATTGAAAAGTGATTGTTTCTTTTTTCAGATGGTATATACATTTTGGTCAAATTTGAAAAAAACTGGTGACATGGCGGTTGGACAAGTTGGATTCCACAATTCGAAAGAAGTTCGGTTAATTAAAGTTGAAAAACGGATAAATGATGTTGTAAATAGACTAAACAAAACTAAAGTGGAAAAATTTCCGGATTTGAGAGAAGCAAAAGAAGATAGGGACAGGCAAGAAAGAAATGAAGCAAAAAAAATAATGAAAGAACAGCAAGAAAAAGAAAAACAGGAAATATTGAAAATGAAACAAGAAAAAGCTCTTCGTTCTTATGATTCTTTATTTGATGATGTAGAAATGAAAACTAATGCAAATAATGATGACGATTCTGATGATTTTATGTAACATTGGCCTCAATCAAGTCTTCGACATATTGCTTTGTTCCACAAAAGTTTTTAAAAACTATGTACAAACAAGTCTATGTGATTTGAGAATTGAGATTAGTGATGGATGGGTACATTATTGCTTCAAAGTACTTATATGTATTTCCTGTCCCTTATCACACTAATACTTTGACAAATGTGTTTGTTCATGGATGGTTTTCGGGAAAAGTTATTGCTGGTCAAAAATTGATTTTTGGCTGTTTTGGAAGTTTTCAACCATTTTTTTCCCTATTGGATTTAGGTGAGCTTGTTCTCAATGGATACCGCACATATTTGCGGTTGATGGGCTGCCATTAACAATAAGAGAATTTCATGTCCATATATTTACCAATTGTTTTCTTATATTTTTGTTATTTATTTTACGGAAAAATATTCTTTAGTATGTTTACTTAAATTGCTGTTATGCACATACTATTGAAGAGGGTGAAATTTTTCTCAATTCTTTAATTCAGGGGTGTACAACCTTTAATACAGGAGAGCCAGATACAAATAACCTGGGTGAAACCTCGCGCCGCTCTTTTATTTTACATAGGATTTCTAGCAGTTGCAGGCACAAAAATTTTTGGAAATGATCTTATGACGTGCGTTGTTCACTTCGCACAAGCTAGCTGTTAGGACATCCGTAGATAATAAATTTGACTCTGTTATGAGCTTAACAACGCAAATAGATTGGAATTATGCACATACCAGATTAAACTAAATTAAAAACTCATTTCGTGGGCCGCACACCATTCAAAATTGGCACATTTCCGCGGTCGCACAACTTTTTCTTGTGGGCGCAGGTTTCACACCACTGCTCTAATCCACTCTGCTCATTTCTAGTTTTATTGAAATAGCCCACTCTCTCATTTTATCTCATATTCCATCCAAACCTAGAAAATGTTCAATGGGCCATTTATGTGTATTTTTAATATGTTGCAGTATTTTTCCAGATAAATGGCTAAATATTTTGATAAACTGTTTCATTTAACACAGTCTATAAGAAGGCAGGGTAGCAGATGCATTTCTTCATTTGGAAGCACAAACTATTCATACACAAGAAGTTCGAGATATCAAATAAAAAATCGAAGTGTTTCAAACTACGCAATCAATAATAATAACTCAGTTTTGGGAACATTTGAATCATGTAATTGGACTTGTAGAAAATCATATGCAACAGATCATAAGCTGAAGAACTCAAATGAGTTGAACAATAATAATTGGATTAATGGTGTTATGTACAAACAAGACACATGGACGAATATTACTCCTAAAATATTATCTCTGATCAATAGAAATTTACATCTTCAGAAGGATCATCCAATTTGTTTAATAAAAGAGGTAAGTTTTTGTAATGTTTTGTTTTTTTGTTCGTCAAATATCAGTGAGAGTACTACAACAGCATTAGAAAATTTTTATTGTTTCTCAGGTCATCATCAAGCATTTTTATAAAAAATATGTCAGATCACGACAGAGACCAATATTTTCAGTTTATGACAATTTGTCACCTGTGGTATCGACTTATCAAAACTTCGACAGTATGCTTATACCAAAAGGTATGCAGTGGTTGATTTATTGTGTAAGTGATGCAAAAGAATCTAAACAACCTTACCAATAAATTAATACAGGCTTCGAGAGACAACACAACAAATTGTTGTTTGTTGAGTCAGAAAAGTGTTCACCTTGACAATTGCTTCCAAATATTCAATGATTAGTTATTTAAACAACTATTATGATCGTATCTCCACAAGTTTTCTCTTTACTCACTAGTGTTCGTTGTTTTATCCCACATTTTGCTATTTTTGAGAAAATGAAGCAGATTGACATGCAGTGCTCAAAACAGCTTATCCCAAATAAGGTGTTCATACAGTGTAGCTTTGTTTTTTTGGCATTTTGCAGATCATATCAGTCGAAGGAAGTCTGACAACTATTATATAAATTCATCGACCATGTTGCGTGCTCACACATCAGCTCATGAAGCTGAATTAATTCGATCTGGACTTGATGCGTTTCTCGTTGTTGGTGATTGTTACAGACGAGATGAAATTGATACTTCTCATTATCCTGCATTTCATCAATTAGAAGGAGTTAGATTATTTTCATACCATGATGTAGGTATATAAAATTCAACATTATAAATTTTGATATTTGTTCTGAAGTGGAAAGTTTATAATTTGGCTAGATCAGTGAATTGAGGAATCATAATATTATGACTGGGAGATTGCCAGTCTCCAACATGGCCTATATACATTTAGCATTGGTCACGGACGATGCTTGAGTGGTAAACTATTTTAGAATCAAACCACAAGTTTTAATGTACTGGTAGTTTGCTTCCCAATACTAGTTAAAAGGATTCAATTATGTAAAAACATATATATTCTATATAATAGTTCGTTAATTTAATCTTTAGTCCCATCTCAATTTTGGCGCAGGAATGAAATGTCATTGAATAAACACCCATGTTAATAATAGCTTATTAGGTGTAATTTTGTACGATTCCATATCGTTCCAAAATTTAATATTTGATCATTAATAGAAAAATAATAATAATAAAATATTTAACAGGTATTTGAGAATGCAGAAGGTGATACCAGTGGTTTATCTTTGTTTGAAGATGGAGTGGAAGCAGCCGATAAACAAGATTGTCACACACTTGAGGCGTCAAAGATTGTTGAATTAGCACTAAAACAAACATTGGAAGATTGCATGCAGAATTTGTTTGGGAAAGGTTTGTTTTCATCATATTCATTTCAAGTTCATTTATTGCCACATATGTTTGAATATTCAATATTCAGTCTGTGGTACAAAGAAACATTACTTCGTCAAAGATTAAAAATTTTGAATTCCTAATCGCATATTTTAAACCTCGGTGATTGATTCATTGGTGTTAAAATTATGCTTGCCATTGTACCGCTTAGGACCCTGTTTCAAAAGTTCAGTACCTGTGGTTGTGGATGACTATGTGCGAGAGTATTGATAGACTCTTTGTCGTCACAGGTTTGGTATGCATAATGGTAAGGGTAACCTGTTCTCGATAACAGCTTCCCCCACCTTAAAAGTCTGTGCATATGGAAAAGTTAAGTATCCCCAAATTTGGCATTAGACTGGTAACCAAACAAGAGGCCTTTGTCCGCAATATGATTAAACCATCGTAAACAATTTCCTCTTCTCTGGGATAAATATGAGAACCCTATAGGATAGGGATAGAAATTACATATATCCTGGTGGAGAGGAGAGACGACTTCATCATATGTCAAACCACAGCCTCTTCATCCAATGATTAGTCCATGTCGAATATGGGAATAGTTAGCCAGTAATTTGTTTTTAGATGCGTAGACTTGATGGTGGAGGAAGCCGCCCCTAACTGACCAGAGCTTACATGAACCATCCTAAGGCGAGGAGGAGTTCAATTCTCTCGCACTTAATTTCCCCTCCACAGCATTCGAACCTGCGGATGACTGCGGATAAAACAATTAATTACCGGTATATGGAATGTACTCTATGTATGAATGTGTTCTAAAACTAAATTGAATGATATATTTATTAATTTTCCATAGAAGATTCCTTCACACTTTGTTGGCATTAAGAAATTCATAATTCACCAGGTCACTGGTTTATATTATTTTTTTCTCAGTCTTGAACTTGATAGATAGGCTATATAGGCATTAGGTATAAAGTTTACCAGTTGAAGTATTATACAGTTTAATGAAGCTTCACACTCTCTTTTATCACTGTGGAGTTATATCTTATCATGTTTTCTTCTTTATCTTAGATATTGAGAGGAGATGGGTCGATGCATATTTTCCGTTCACTCATCCTTCCTTTGAATTAGAAGTCAAATATGAAGGAGAATGGATGGAAGTTTTGGGATGCGGTGTTTTGAGACAGGATATATTAAATAAAGGTTAGAAACATGTTCTTATATAATACATGCGGATATGTCATGGTGGATTAGTAAATATGGATTTTGAGGACAAGTTTTTCTGAATATTGGAATGGATGGATGGAAGTTTTAGGATGCGGTGTTTTGAGACAGGATATATTAAATAAAGGTTAGAAACATGTTCTTATATAATACATGCGGATATGTCATGGTGGATTAGTAAATATGGATTTTGAGGACAAGTTTTTCTGAATATTGGAATGGATGGATGGAAGTTTTAGGATGCGGTGTTTTGAGACAGGATATATTGAATAAAGGTTAGAAACATGTTCCTATATAATACATGCGGATATGTTATGGTGGATTAGTAAATATGGATTTTGAGCACAAGTTTTTCTGAATATTTTGGACTATTATTAAGCCATGCCATATTTATTTAACATGATGTATATATAATGAAAAGGGGCAAGTCGTTGGTTTCATAAATTAAAATTCTTCTATATAGAGTATAATATTATTTTAATCATAAAATGGTAAAATTGTTTGACGTGAAAGCCTCACTTTGTGTAACGCCCTGATGATATTTTAGATATTTATCAAGTGATTTTTTCTTATCTAATCTTCATTATTTAATCACCATCAGAGTTATTTCTAATTATTTATTCGCAGCGGGGGCAAATGAAAAAATAGGATGGGCATTTGGTCTAGGATTAGAACGGCTTGCAATGAAATTATTTGATATTCCTGATATTCGTTATTTTTGGAGCAATAATGAAGTGTTTTTGAGTCAGTTTCGGAACAAAGAAAGTATAAAAGACTTGAAATTCAAGGTAAATTTGTTGATATTAAGAATATTAATTGCTTGGACCGAACCGCTTAAAATGGATGTTCAATTGAATATTAAATTGGATTAAAATGTTATATAAGAATTTAAGGGAGAAATAGTAATTGTCTTATTTGTGAATTTTTTAATAGGCAATACAATTATGAATTTTTTCACTATATTATTCATGAAAGGACATACATATCTATCAAAATTTTTTTCAGCCATATCTAAGCAAGCATCCTGCTTTGTTCAATGATATTTCATTCTGGATTCCTGAACAATTCCATCCATCGGATTTCTATGATATCGTTCGAACCATTGGTGGTGATCTTGTAGAGAATGTGGTTTTACATGATGACTTTATTCATCCGAAGTGGGTATTTTTAGATTCATTCCCATATCACTGTTGTATGATATGTGTAATTTCAATATTGATATCATATTATATATAATTATGAAATATGATCCAAATCAATTATTATTTGAATTCTGTTAACATGATGAAATTCTGAAACTTTTTTTTCGATGTTATCATTCGTTCACAGATCTGGAAGACGAAGCCACTGTTACAGACTTTTTTATCGACATGTGTCTAGAACTTTATCACATGATGAAGTATCGGAAGTGCAGAAAGAAATACGAGAAAAACTTATTGAACATTGGAATGTTGAAGGGCGTTGGTGACATTTTAAAATATCTAAATTTTGGCCCTTGATGAAATTTTAAAATTTCTGTTGAAAATTGGTTGCGTTCCATGGAGGTTAAACCACCATTTTGCATGGGAGGCATTGAACCAGTCTTGAAGCATTTTCAAAGTGCCATTATCATGGTACATAATCTTTTTGCCATGTTAATAAACTGTTCGCCGTTGTACTGAAGCAGGTTCAAATTTATTTTTCATATTTCTAAATCTACATATTTCATTGATATTCGAGTTGTCAGGTTCTCGCGAATGTTAAAAAGAAATGTTTACTGAAAGAAATTATTCATATATCATTTGAAATCACTGGCTTGGAAATAGGTAGGTAAAAGGTGGATAGGATAGGATATACATATTTATCCAGGGGGAGATGGAAGCCTATAAGAGGGCTTAACCATATGACAAACCACGGCCTCTCGTCCGGTTACCATTCAATGCCGGGTATGGGATTAGTTATTTGTTTTCGGAAGCATGGATGGTGGAGGAAGCGTAACCGACCAGCCGTTACGTGAACCACCCTACGGCGACGAGGAGTCCAGAAATCCTCTCGCACATAATCCTCCCCGCATGGGATTCGAACTTGCGAACAGACTCGGAGTAATTAGAGGTGCGATGGCGAGCGTATTCCTAACGCTTATCACGATGAGCCGCGTCCTTATCGCCGTATCGATCATTTGAGGGTGGTTCTCAGAGACAAGTGTTAGGAAAACGCTTCGTCATCAAAGCGCTAATTGTATAAGCAAGATACATTACTTACATAAAACAGAGCCACATAGCATATTATGACGTTATAATGGAATCAGTTACCCGCCATAGGTAAGCACCTATCAATGTACAGTAAGGGCGACTGGGTCTGTAACTTGATACCATTTTCGCTGATAAATATTTTACACTAAACTAAAAGTGAATTCAAATTTTTTACCTGTCAGGTTTTCCGTTCTCTGGAATAAATGTGAAAATTCTTCTTTAGTCGATTTAACACTCGGATAATATTATTGTATTGTATTAATATTGTTGTATTTGAATTCACCCAAACCGTCGATATTTCCATGAGTTCACAGGTTGTAACACTTATGGGGCGGTTATATTTTATATGGGTTTGTTATATTTCGTATGGGTCACAAGGAACCAATGGCTTTGCTCAACTTAGTAAGAAAACGTAAATATTAAAAAGTTTCAAGCATATGTCATCATATATACGCTTTATCGAGGTACCAATACAATATTATTTTAATGACAGCACCATTGCATTTTCTTATCAAAAACATAGGTTTCTACAAATATTCCTGTTATAATCATTGCTTCTTTCAAAATCATGGCGAAAACGGTGCTTAAGCACATTTAACAGGCATTAATAATTGGGGTGTATAACTGTATATCAATTGGTGAAGATATAAGTATTATAGCAATAAAAAGATTCAAACGAAATAATATTGGTAGTATTACATGAAAAACAAAGTATAATTCCACCTTGGAGGGAATCACTATCCGACTGGGAAACGTTGGTGTGATTATTGAAGAAAGTAACGATCATATAATATTGTATTAAATAGCATCAGATTCGGAAAAAATAATATATCCATAGGCACGGGTTAAAGGTTGTCATATTAAAATATTGCTGTTTATTTCGTATGTAAATTTGAATGCAAATTTTTATCAAGTTAACAAGTAGGATAAGAAGTAACAACATTTCCGTTCACTGTTACAACGTCAGATGTCAGGGCAAGATCAAAGTCTCCAGAGCACACGCATTTGTCACCTGCCATATCTGAGATTTCTGTGGTGCCTAATATCCGCTCCCATAACATTAGGTTCTCTACTTGGCCTTCAAATGCTTGATTGGTTGAAAATCCACCTCCGACACTGTCCTGTTCTTGTCCTATTATTAACGATCCTGTTAGATCTGGAAGAGGGTCGGTGTCGGTGTATGTACGTGTAGCAAACAAAGACCCATCCTTGTACATTTTTAAATATTGGTCTGGCTTAGAAATGAGGAAGCATATATGAGTTGCTTGGGTCACTTCGATATTAATGCTTCTCTGCGTGCTTGAAGGATGATTGAAGTAAATTGTATGTCTAGTTGTTGTATCAAAATGTATTGTGAAAGAATTGGCGTTAACTGGTGTTGCATAACTGAAAACAGCTCCTTTTAGTCCTTCGCCTGCTGTGGTCGATGGCGATATCACCATACATAAGGATACTTGTGACAATTGTGGTGGATCGTAATCGACAACGACGTAATCCGCTGTAGATCTCAGTGGAAATGTGTAGGAAGTTTGAGGGCAACCTGAATGTATGATTTAATTCACAACATGTAGAGAACTAAACGGTATTTATACAAACAAAAATTAGGTTTCATTATCCATACGATCGAAAGCCACAAGGGTCCGTGTTTGAAAAACAGGTGTCAGAAAAATGAACAAACAAAATTATTGTCAATCAATGGAGGTGTAACCGGATCAACAAAATGCACTGTATTATATTGAGAGAGCTTTGAAGGAGTGCTGAAATTTTTCGTCAGTGGCCCCACACAATGCATGTTTTATTCTAAACTTATAAACCATAATACGCCTACTGTGTCGTTTTATACAGAGGTTAAGAACAGAACACATTCATTTTCTAAATTTTATATATATATATGTTGGATTAAGTGGCAAAGATTATGCGGACGCTCATATTATGAAAGCAGATATAGCCAAGAATCACTACGGGGTTCCTTAAGAGTGTTTTGTACTTACTCGTACAAGCATTTGAGCCTGGAGAACTGAACCCAAATCCCTCTTCGCACACACATCCTTGCATCATAGTTGCGGAATCTGTCACTGCGCATATTGCATTATCTCCACATGTAACTGTGCCACCATTTCTGCATTCGTCCACTGAAGATGAGATTCAGAATAGTTAATATTTAAGCTTTGAAAATGGTGGTTTTTACTATTCCAGACCGCTTATATCAATCTCCCTCTTCCCGCATTTAAACACTAAACAAAAAATTTTCAGGTATTGTTTGTGATAGTATATATATATCTTATTAATTAGTGTTTGACATAAAATACCTGGAAATCTTTTTGACCGTCGAATAAATACAAATAACTTATCGACAAAGCCGATATTTGAACTTGAAAATTTTAATCGGGACGCGAACATCGACACGATGCCACGATATAATGTTTGTATCTAATAATTCTAACGCTGATGTAAATGTATAGTGCCACTATTTATTGTCGGTTAGAATAGAATTGGGGACTGTGATCTTGTTTATATCGTTCAAATAACACAATAAATATCCATAGAAGTGCCTTAAAGTCCAGTTAGCTGTTGAGATAATCAAAGAACAGAGTGTTTCGGAATCAAATTGGAACGAAACTTTTGTCAGAGAAAACGGGGTATTTTACATAATTCAGAGAAACCAATTACTGTAGCTAACAAATATTGTTTATGGTAGGTGTAAACATGTGTTTACAGAAACACATCTCTCGGTGGAACTCCTGAAAGCTGTTTTTCTGGGTCCCTGGTATACCTCCAAACTGAACGAGATGTGTCTGAACGAAACGCCGTATTTGTAATATATATTACAGATCTACTTTAGTGACACACGCAATAATTGTTGGGTTGTTAAAACGATCATTGCTCATAAACTGTTTATCGCATCGTTTTGATTTTCATTTTTTTTGGGTCAGCCAGGCATTTGGTTGAACGTATTTAAATTGGGACGCTCACTCGCGCCTTCAAAACCGAACAAGGTCAGTCGCGGGGAGAAACTAACATCTAACGATAAGTAAGGAGATAAATTACAACGATAAATTCACGATGGTAATGCGGAACACTCAAATCTGAAACGTCGTCTGATTTCACCGCCGAGTGCGACCCGACTTGAAAAAGATCGTTCATCGATTGTTGCTGGTAATGCCATGATTAATTTGATCGCTTTGCACACAATTGGGTAATCCTGAGCACCCAGCAGTATAAGCTCATGCAAACATTTGTGGCTGATTTTGCAACTTAAGAAAGCTCTCCACAAACTTACTTCCCTTCGCTGGAATAAAATAATCAAGAGGGGGATTTCATTTTTCAACTGGTTCGTTTGAAGGGAGGATTGATAAAAAGATAGAAAAGGGCTGGTTACCAGTGAATCGTTCACGAATAGAGCTAATGTAAAAATAACTTTCATAATGGGGAAATTGATAACCTCAAACCTAAGCATTTCCAGCCAATACCTAAAAAAAAGAAATGTTCAGAATCATATCAAAGCTGAATTGTAGCGAGTAATTTGCCTAAAACAAGGTTGATTTCATTTTCGTTTATGGGATTTTCATGCAGCGTTTTATGCAAAAGAGTGGTGGACGTATTTTCCCTCGCTAAAGTGTTACTTGACTTTTGTCATATCGTTCTTAATAGTTAGAAATTTGGTTTCATTACATATACCTGTGTAAGGTTCAAGTGTATTTTGTTTATCTCTTATTTGGAACCATTCGATTGTGCAACTTTACATTGGCATCAGAATCTATTGTGTGGTTATTGACCTATCATGAGTCAGGTTTGGGTTATACTCCGCTAACATACGCTCAATAGTACAGGCAGGACACGCAGATAGAGGACTATAGGGTAAACATTTGCTGTCATTCCTTTGTATTTTCACGTTCGACATATTTGAAATGTGTGATATTAAGTTCCCAATCACAAAATACAGTATTGTAAGGGACATACGTATACATCCATCGTCAACTCTAAGATCCCGTATGTAGTTTTCATTGCAAACGCATCTTCCAGTTGGAGCTCCACTTTCATAGGTAATCACACAACTAGCTGCTGTGCCACAAGTAATTCCATTACACGGACCTGTGATTGTTGAAATTTAAATTTAGTTTGAAAACGGACTGCTGATATGCGTTTGTTACTTATCGATCTCGATCGGTAAGTATGTTGACAGGTATTTGTTTGTTTGTTTGTTTCACTTTCGTATGTTACGCGATGTCTCACGAAAGCGAGGTTGAATCTGCCCCAATCAATTGGTGATGGGACACGCGGTGTCGCTATTGAGTCAGGTCGAAGGAATCGAAACCGCAAGATCGACAAGTCGGCGGTCTCCAATCGCTATCTAGTTTATGTGTTGATATACATACAATATGAGCTTTTTGATGCTGATCGGGAAATATGCCACCATTTACGCCTTTAACTATTATAAAATTATTATGAACTTATATAGTCAATTTCCACATTTATTAGACTTCCCACCATTTTCTTGTCCCACCTTATTTTGCTACGAAAACGGTAATGGTTATAGAGCCGTTATTTATTATACGGGGTGCAGCGTTCAAACAATTCCAGAGCATGTTTAACTAAATTTCTGGAATACAAGATATTTACCAGTACAGCCCTCTGCATCTGTTCCTACGGGCACATATCCTCTTTGGCACTTGCATTCTACAGACCCAGTGCTATCAACAAAGCACACAGCGTTATCACCACAATCACGTCCAGCGCACACGTCTTCTGCGAAGTGTAAATTGAATATACGATTCGGCATATGAACACGTAAAGGACGATCATTAGGGATATTTCGTTGTAATATTTTCTAACTGTTTTTATTGAATTGTTCGAATAAAGTTTTAAATATTTCAGCATCAGTGGATGTACAACTTTATCTTATTTATTGAATCAAAATTTTTCTATAGTGCGATGCATCAGAAATATAAATTAAATCAGGAGATCAGTAATTTGTGTCCAGTATTTAATTCTAGCAATAACTGTCTCACTCACTAGCGCAGATTGCTTCACTTCCCGGAACCAAAGCATACCCATCCGCACAAATGCATTTTTCAAAACAGCTTCCTTCATTTACGACACAGATGTTATGATCGGGGCACACCTTCCCACTTCGACATGATTTTTCTGTTCGAAAAAATGATGGTTTAGGTTTTTGAATGAACACGATAGACCACCAGAGAAGTTACTTTATTTGGTACTGGAAGCAGGACTGAAAAGTCACTAGAATGAACTTCCAAATGACATAGTCGTTGGTTATTCAACAACATAATTAATAAGACCAATATTAGTATCAGATAATACAATGACAAATAAGTTCATCATAAATACGTACGATTTATTGAGGTTTCACCAGCGCCATCACAAAATTCACACAAACCAGGTAACAATTCAGAACCATCGCTATCATCCATCCATGCGTAATCAAACCAATCTGGAGTTATCAATGCAATCAGAAATTCTTGAGTGTTTTCACTCGGACTCCCAGGTTTCCATTCAGCAGCAGAATTCGGAACTGATAAAATCGTCTTAAAATTCAATTTCATAAGTTTGTGGCTCACCAATACAGTCACGTTTGGCTTGGAGTAATATGGATATATAATGATTGGAGCAAATAGAACCAAAAAAGGAGAATGGAAAGAAAAGATTACGAAACGCAGAACTAAGTTGTTAAATTTAACTGTGAGTGTTGTAAAAAAATTACACAACTGATATCGGGTAACATCAAAATACCCAACATATTATTGGTTAATTTAGCTTTTGTCTATTTCTCCTCTGTAACGGTTGAGAAAACAAAGAATATCTTTCTACCAATTCAATAATCGAGATGGAAACATCTATGTCTGAACTACCAAACTAATCTTGATTGTTTTTATTAGTGTATTAACGAGCCTCTATTTCCAGTAGTTGAAAATAAAAATGGAAGTAGCCTACTGTCGAGAAAATTTTTAAAAGTTCATACTCACGCCGTCAGATCGAAATTTCGATGTTGATATATCTTTGCTGAAACCGACGTGAACACCCAATTCTAGTCCATAACCAAGATTATGAAAGTAAGTCATCACTTTTCTAAATACAAACATTGATCAAATAACAACTTCAATGTAAGAATGTACTGGTGAACAAATATATATGAACTGATAATTTGCGTGCTGAAGTAAGTGAACCAAAGATATTCTCGAATATGATAGTAAAAAATCGATTATTTTTCCTAAATATATAAACTGTCAAATCTATTATTTTTTGGCAACTATTGTTTTTATTTCAAACTGTGTTCCGCGAAACGCTACTGTTTCGCGAGCTTCTCTGGAGTGTTCCGCGGGACAGAGAACGAAATTGCGACTAAATTGGTCGCCATGGCGATCTCGTCCATACTTCGGCGCCTCTGGGCCGTAAGTTTGTCTCCCAACTGGCGATGGACATACAGGCGGACAGGCCTCGTGCCAGTCGGTAAATCATGACGTTTCGATATCGTTAACCGTCGGCCTTAATTTTTAATTGTCAAGTTTACAGGAAACGTTTCAATTTTAACATAGGCTAAATTTTTTGGTTAACCATCCTTCTCAACGAATTGTTGGCTGAAAACTGGAAGCCTCGAAAAATGTCGTGATAAGACGGTTGTGCAGGTTGAGGCACAAAGTAAATCCATTTTTTTTATCAATTTTACCTTCCAATTTCTTGGTGTTCCGCGAGGCGAGATAAAAAGTGTAGGTGTTCCGGGGCAAAAAAGTTCGAGAAACGCTTGCTATGGCATTCCACATCGACACAATTGTGGAGTGCGATAAACTTATTACACGCTCTTGCAAAAGTTTCGAACAGATTGAAATGTTATTTCTCGAAATTTTTAACGTCTTGTATTATTAGACATTGAAAGCATTTTGTTGAAGCTTTGTATTGGATCTTAAATTTAGTTTTTAAGTTTATCATTAAGAATAAGCAGAAAAAAATAAGTTTTTTTTACTTCAAACGATTTCCATCGATGCCATTGACTATTTTTGTAGCTAATTGTCCTCCTTGCTCTTCACAAAGTCGTTCGCTAACATCATAGAATGCATGTGGAATGATGGAGTACTGACAGAAATTTTTTGGATCAAATTTCAATACTGGAGCTGGAAATCCTGGAAACAAAAGAAATGAAGATGCTGAACTTTTATTAATTCATCTGGCAGTAGTTATTAAAGGCCCGAGACGTAAAATTACTGTGGAACAGAGAAGTGAGGGGATAATGGACACTGATACTCAACATCTTCTTTGCTAGTAGTTTCCTAAATTATACCACCATACACGCTATTAGAATTACAAATATATATATTATATCAAATGTTAACAAACCAATCGGCACTTCGCATAATCCATGCTCAATGATAGAACAGGGATAATTTCGTATCCGGACTCCATCTGATGAAGATTGGATAAAACCACAATCATGATCTTTTATTGACTGCGGATATCCCGCCATCCATGGTGTAAAAGTGCGATCATAACTTTCCTGCAAAATACTGTAATATTACTTTGAATGTAGAAAAATCGGGATATCTGAGAATAAACCAAGGTGTGGCCAGCATAGAGTAATTCAAATTTATTACTACTGATGCCTATTCACAGTCTGTTTGCCGATTTTTAATCACCACATCGGCGATTGCAACAAGCGTCCGTCGTCATGCCACCAATTAACAGGCAAATTCGTAGTGCTCAGACGTAAACAGAATTTGACGGGTTTTCTGGGTTTGTATATACAATCATACTGATTTTTGTTTAATTAGATTTCGTGGTAATACCAATAGTTACTCCGACGTTTTTTTAATAAAAATACAAATCAGTAAAAAAGTCAAACCAGCTTTTGTAAATATATATAATAGATAAAGCTTACTCCATCAGTCCATGCAAATAGTCCATCAATTGTTTTGGCTCTGAGACCGATGTATGAGTTGGGAAACCTTCCCATGATCTCACTGAAATGATCAATTATGTTGTATCAACAACTACGATTTGTATGGAACATTTCAGGCTTTAGTCATCCTGATACGTAGCTGTCTACCACCATTTTGTAGTAAATAGTCCTAACACGCTGAAGCCAGTTTGGTTTTGGGAGTTTAAATTTTGGGTGGGAGTCTACTTTTAGATCCGACAAGACACTCATTTCAAAAATATTCTTCAAGATTCAATCTTTAATCTAGCCTGAAGTGGAGGTTTTTAACTAAAGATCATAATATATAAACATGAAAAAGCATTTAGCCTACTCGTTTTTATCAGACAATTCACAACTTTAATGAAGCTCTGTCGCACCACACACTTGAGTCCTGGGGGGTCAACCTGCCACGCTATACCACGAATAATAATAAAAAACGTTCATTTATGATATTTACTTATATACCTTTGGATTCCGCATTCCACGAAACGCTAGATGACCTCCAAAGTTTTCGCACTGTTTCTCTGTGCCAATATAATTCGACCGAGTGTCTGTTTTGGCATACTGGTATCCGTTTCCGCCATCATACCAACCGGTCCTTATTAAACCTCCAATGCAAATGTATATCAAAGTTTGAAGCTTTATGCTACGTATTATTGGTATCTTTGTTGTATAAGAGTGTTTGTTTCTATGCAAATTGGAAAACTTTTTGAATAGTACAGATTTGACAGTGTGGGATTTTACGGAATAATCTAGTATTGCACCAAGTGTAAGACTACACCAATACTCCCCGCTGAAGATAAATTGACTTTATAAAAAATAGGTAATTTAAAGAATTAAATACGACCCGACTATTTCTAACTAAGTTCTCCTTGCTGCTCGGACACTGTTCAGCAACTTACAGATAAAAAAAATCTCCTTTCCCAATATTATAAGAAATACCATGGGCTTTCTTATATCCATCAAAATTAAAAATAAAAATGCGTTTACTGATAAACTTGTGCTTTTAATTTAATTTTCTAATTAATGTTACTTAATACTTACACAAATCGCAGTTATCTCCAGTTTTGTCGGCATCGCATTCGCAGATCTCTCCATTGGGAGTATTATGGCAAGTTCCAATACAATCGGGACAGGCTCCATCACATTGCAGCTGGGCCATCATTACTAGGTAAAAGTCATAAGGACAAAAATAATAAAACACTCAATTATTTTAAAAAATCGTTTCTTCTGCAGATATTTGGTAAGCGATTAACTCACTATTACTTGGTTACTTACCGCGTAGAATAATAAAAAGCAGCAGTACGACGAATTTTTTTTGCATGATTATCAACGTCCTTAGTGCAAAAATATAAGATCTTGTATAACGAGTAACGCTGAACCTAATTGCAGTTTACGCCGGACAGGATATACATACTTTAACAAAACACTGCTAAAAATTATATATTTATTCACCATTTCATTCTTCTGTCAATTAAGTATGGGGTATAAATAAAACTTACGATAAAAGCGTTCCGAATTATTGACCAAATTTGTCACAAAAACATGTAGGATGGTGATCGTAAGATATAAATTAAAGATCACCTTCTTCTTTCTACAACGCACTCGAAATCTTATTTAGATCAAAATAATTATAAATAATGAGTCATTTTAACTGGAACGTAAAAAATTTCGAAGAAATATAATATGATTCGTCATACATCGTGGACAGGAAACAGCAACAGGAAATTTTTTGTAAAAATGAAAAATATAATGATATATTGTGAAAAGAAAACTATTGCCTAAATATAAAACTAGATAGCGATCGGAGACCGCCGACCTATCGATCTGCAGTTTCGATTCCTTCGCTCTGACTCAATAGCAACACCGCGTTCCCCATCACTAATTAATTAATAACTCACTAATTAAACGACATAATTCATCTAAAAGCAATAGGCTTCTGGTCCGAGATATGATCAATGCACATGCAAAATTTGGAGCAGATTCAACCTCGCTTTCGTGAGATATCGCGTAACATACGAACGAGATAGCGATCAGAGATCGCCGACTTATCGATCTAGCGGCGTATATTTTCGCTCTGACTCAATAGTGACACCACGTGTACCATCACTAATTAATTAATAACTCGCTAACTATACGACATAATTTATCCAAAATCCATAGGCTTCTGGTCCGACATATGATGAATGCACATGCAAAATATGGAGCAGATCAATCTCGCTTTCGTTAGATATCGCGTGCATCTAACAGACAGACAAACAAACAGACAAATACCTATCAACATACTTGTCGATTAAAATCGATAAGTAACAAACAGACAAATACCGATCAACATACTTACCGATCGAGATCGATAAGTAACTAGTTAAATAAGGGTGCACAAATTTTACTTCAGAACGGTAAATTTTTCTGCAATGTTGTTTAATTATTAAACCATTTATGCTGTATATCTTACCGCCACCTGAAACGGATTTTTTTCAGGCTTACGGTTAAACCTAGGCAATGTGGGGGTTTGCGACTGAGATCTTTGAATGGCAAGGCAAACTAACCAACCTTTTATTATATAAAAAATTTTTTTTTAGCAATGACAAAAACGCTCAGTAATGAATTTATTTTTCATCAATCACTAAAATGATAAGATTTATCGACCTTTCGGCAACGAGTTTCAATCAATAATGATGAAAATACATTCTTGCGTCAAAAATTTTGTAGGAAGATTAGACTCGGAAATGGAGATTTACATCCCGTTTAAACATAAAAATAGCAGAAAAAAAATAAATAAAAGCGTTATAGGTTTGTAATAGAGGACGCAAGATTTTAACGCCATCGATAGATTAATTGATCGACCGCTTTATTCTTTTTTTTGGTTCGAAAGCCACTTCTGCCATTTAACAAACCTTTGTTGGAATTCAGACAATAGGCTGCTGGGTATGCAAAATTATTGTTTGCGTACAGCTCACAGCATGGACGTCATGGCCGAGGGTTACTACCTTATTCACTAACAATACAAAGATTATGCCGATATGGTTACTTCATGCATCGAGTGTTATTAGCCACCCAAATCAGTCAGGAGAGGAAACACCCCTCTTCAATTCCAAACAAAATCGGATGTAAAAAGAAGATTGACAATACCCGTATTAAATCACATGGATTGAGGTTAAATAACTAGTTAAAATGCTTGTTTAATTGAAGAAAGAAAGATGGGAGATACATACAATGAGCACCCATATAAATTAATAAAGCACAGAAGGAGATGCGTTAAAAAGCTTCCAAGTAATACATATTTTGTTTAATCTATGATATGTAACCATAGATTTCGAGAAAGATTTTATGCGTAGCTATTATGTTTGATGTGACACATCCTTGTTACCTGAAAGAGTGATTCAATAATCGTAGGAAATAATTCCACAAAAAGGAAATGCTGCTCGTCCTGATAAAGAACGGAATTGGATAATTGTAAGACTTGTTTCCTATGATTTTACATACTGGCATCAACTGGTTCTATTGCTATTGAATATATAATATGTTACTGTTGAATCAATTTATGCAAGGACCATATATAACAGATGCAACACTTGAACGATATATCTTGAAATCTTACATGACTTAGTTTCCGGGTAATTTGATTCGAATATTATTGAAAATCAGCTCATTTTCCATTGTAGGAGACTTAACTCTTAGTTAAATTGTACCAGAGTATTGGTTTGTTATTGGCATTCACCAGCTTGGCGGCAACGAAACAAATTTCACACGGTATGACACCCATGCCGTTTCTCTTCATTTTTGTTTGCGGATTTCTGGGTAAGTCTGTAGTTTACTTGATTCTTTCCGAACAATTATATGTGTTATAAATTAATGCATGAAAAAGGACTCAACGTGAGAAGAAAAAAAAGGACGTGGTCAAATGTATTCCTGTATGTGGAACGTTTAATCGGTTAGCTATGCATACTTTGGACTGGTAGATGTACGTCACCTGTTGTGTGTAGGCATGTTTCCACATCATAAACTTCCTCGTTTGCTCCTGTAACAACATGAGATAGCGATCATAATTTTTAGCTTTCGCACAAACTTTTACTTAAGACTCACATTTGCAATGACAAAATTTTGCAACATTTAGAATGATTTTTTCTCGTATCAAAGGTCAGAGAAGCATCTTTTAAGACGCTCTGTCTCATTTCTTTTCTGAGGGTTATTCTCTATTTGGTTTGTATTAACTACCAAATGTTGGAATTTGTCAATCATTTTGTATGTGAAATTCTTTATTCCGATCAGTTATTCGTAGTGTGAGCTTTTTGAGACAATCATTTTTTGGTCACAACACAACGCCAACATTTTTCTTTAATTAAAGTCATCTTATTATTGTTAAATTTAGACTTTGAAATATACTCACAATATAATTATACTATCGTGCTTTTCATTGAATTCTGAAATGTCTCTAATGAAGCGCATATTAAAAAAAGGGGAATTAGTGTCGCTTGAAAAGTGTTGATTAGTCATATTGTGTATACTATTTGTACTTAACAGATGTGGCTGTCGGAGCTCTAAATTGTCAAGATTGTCCAAACTGCGCTGGAACTTGTCATAAAACACCGGATAATTTTGTTTGTGAATGTCCAGCTGACAAAACTGGCGACGATTGTGATCTGTGTGAGAGAATATGATTTTCTTGTTTTAGAAAAGACAAATTTGATTGTTTGTAGAGCACTGTTTTTGTTCATTTCAATTGAAATATTTAATTGAATTTTTCAAATTTATATATTTCATAATAAATAACTCAATTGAAAGGAAGACGTTTAACGTCTGGAGAATACGCTTTGCCAGTACACCGCTAATTATTTTTGCATGGATTAATGGGTTTGTAACCCGTTTAGGGTGATTGATCCACGATTCTAATATTCATCGCCAAAACTGAATTTTCAAACAAAAGTCTGTCGTTTACCATAATATTGGTCTATATTGAATAAATATTTGATAGTAATGAGTATTGTTGCTTTTTTGTAGGTCTCATAAGACCAGGCTGGACGAATGGCGGAAATGGGTATCAATATTTCAAAACTAAAACACGAGCTAACTATGACGACACAATGAAAGAATGCCGTGAGTTTGGAGGCCATCTTGCTATGTACGGAATAAGAGATCCGGTTGTTTTATCGTGAGTAAACAATTTTGGTGATAGCTTTCCCTTCGTGTATTCCTTTTTTCATTTCCTGTTGAACAAAATCAATTATTGATTATTAATAAGGTTAGTTGAGAAAAAAGTAAAATACCACGAAACTCAAGAAATAAGAAAACCGATTATACCAACAGCGAATTTTAGACTTTTAGAAATCTCTATAGCCAAAACGGTTCTATTCTCAGACACGACAGTGAAACTTATGATTTGTATGGACTGTAATATTGGGCCTTGAACAAAAGCTTGTTTTTCTATTTTTATTGCGAGATGGTATACTATTTTGAACCATGGTTCGTAAACTCCGATTTAGGTTTAAGGATAACCAAATATTTTAACACTCAAATGCAAGGCGTAGTTGACAAATTTCAACACAACAATCTCTTCATGGAGCTGTTCACGAAGTTCAGTAATCCAATTATCAGTTAATAAACAAGGACATTCTGAGTAGTTAGAATATGGTACTCTGGTAATTTGAGATAATTCAGAAGTTTTGCACATTTTCAAAACAAAATATTGACCGTTTAGGAGAATCGGAGAAACAAAGGTGTTTATCGGATTGACTGATAGATTTTCGGAAGGAACTTTTATGTGGGGTGACGTGGTGAGTCTTTGCGTCATGAAGGGGACGTTTTGGGCTTTCGTGTAGCTTAATCGATTTTTATCATGGGCTGCTCTTAGTTTACACCATCCAAATTATTGTAGAAAACAAATGTGATTAAAAAAAATAATAACGTTATGTATAATTTATATCAGCTATACTGCGACTTAGCTCTTTGTGTACTGCCGGTGAGTTCAGAAGTACCCAAGAATTTCAAAAAATAATGCTCCTCCGTGCCCCCCAAAAAATGAATAAATAGTATGTTATCGAAATAATTCGAAGCAATTAATAATGCTATTAATTAATAGGGGCCTAGTAGAAGAAATAACTGCTTCGGTTGAGAGTCATCGGCGAGGTTCTGTAGTTGACTGCTGTAGATGGACTTTCTAACCTAGGACGTTAACTAGGTTCAGCCCAACGCCCTAACTACAAAACTATTAAATTAAACCAGTGTGTGACCGTGTGAATTTACATATGCTTGGGTGAAATACTAAGAAACTGTTATATTACTGTTATAGATAAATTCTGAACATACACAAACTCCTTGGGCTCCAAACCAACCTTCGGCAACAACTAGTGATTATGATTGCGGATATCTCAGAGACGACAGTGGCTCTGTATTAATATATGATAATCCATGCTGGGCAACAGAGTTCGGGCTTTGTGAGGTTCCCGTTGGTATGATATTTATCATGTAGTTTCACGGTTTATTTTAATTTCTTTTATATAAAAATAAGAGAAAAAACAACGTACTATCCTGTCTTTCGCCGAAAAAGAAAAAAATAATAGTGCTCGTATGTGGACATTGATATATACGACAGCATAACAGTTCTAGTATACAACGGGTGTTTAAAATATCACAGATGTATTCACCCAAAATAACTGAACTTACATGTTTCGAATTAAAAGTACCCGATTCAATGAATTTTGCGCCAAGTAAGCCGGCTTTTTAAAATCTCGGTCTCGGGTTTCATACTCCCTACCTACCACATGATGAATGAATTTTATAGAATATAGTGATTCAATAAGGATTCGATTATTGCAAACAATAAGTAGTCCGAACGTACATGTGACGACTTGTTCGGAGGTAGTAATAATATAAACTACCTATTTAATCGTTGGTTAGTGCCAATAATTTATGTACATTTTACAGGATATCCTCCAGCTATTCCAAAATTTGATCCTAAAAACGGGTGTGAATATTTTCTGACTCCGCCAGGTGCATACCATGTAACCGATCGGATTTGTCAAGAGCACGGTGGAAAACTCGCTATACAGGCTGTCAATACAGGATCAGTTTTGAAGTAACAGTTTTTATTTTGAATTTGCGAGAAAGTTTGTTTTATCAACGGCTCAACTTCTTACCGAAAACTTGAAATGTTTTTGAGAATGTTTATAAATTTGTTACAACAGAATAAACACCAGTACGATTATTATTCTTTCGTGGGAAAGTAAAATACTCATTCTCAACAGGGATTTTTAACACTTTCAGACATGCATAAGTAATAAACACAACAAGTCTATTAAATAGAATGTAACAGGATAATATTAAATAGAATTAAATAGAATGAACTTTATTACAGGAAAATTCTTTATTACTTCAAAGTGAATGGATATACACTTGATAATGATGTCATTACATACACAGGGTTTCGAAAAAGTGGAACTTCGTTTGTTGCCGGTGATGGGGTTAGTTGCTACAACTTATTTGAATCCCTGATCAAAATATAACGAGCAAAACTTCAATCGAAAATGGAAGCTATAGAGTTTAAAATAAAGTATAGATTTACCTGAAAATTTTTTAATCTCATCGTACATAAAAAGTTGTGCTCGTCTGGCCTAACTAGTTTTAGGTTATATAAATGGAAATTGAGCTAAAATTAGGTTTATTTTATAGGTCTTTCCATTAAAGACTGTTTGCTCTCATCTCAGTAACCATCCACGCGTTATAATATGATTGACGGTTCGCACCAGAAAATTTCACCCAGGGTATTTGCACCTACATACTTTTGTGCCCATGAATGTTTGCCCCCAGGCACAGTTTTATCAACGCACGGTTGCAACCGCGGAAATATGCACCCACGTTCTCAGTTTTCTCTTTTTTCATTGTTCGCTATTGACGTTTCTCTTGTCTTGCATTATTAGTTAATTAACTTTGACGTTGTAAATTTATTTGTGGCCTGTTTTCGTACGATATGATTGCCTATGTGTACTGACTAGAAAATCACCGGAAATTCGACTACGTTTGCGTTACTTCGTTGAAAGAAAATGACCAACAAAAAGAAAAAGTGGGATGGGATTGTAACCAGCAATGATTGCAAAAAACGTAGCAACACTAACCAGGAATACAAGCAAATTACAAATAGTAATCTGTCTTGATTTCCAATCTGGTGCTAACATCTGTGGGTGCAAATGACGATGAGTGCAAAAGTATGCAGGTGCAAATATCCTGCGGACAGTTTACGAATTCAAAAAATCGTGAGTGCAACTGTTACCGTAATAGACGATATAAAACACTTTGAGACTTAGGTTTTGGTGCTATAAGCTCGACATATGAAAATTTAGACAAGCAGTCGAAATCTGCCATTAGTCGGCAAGCAGTTCAGTCACAACAGGAACGAAGGTTCGGCCTGCGTATCCCCAAAGCTCCCACTGCCTAAATTATTTTCAAATAAAATATTTTTTTTTTCATTCTTTTACACGAAGACTGCTTTAAATACCGGAAGTAGTGCAGTGGACTGGAAACCGGGTAGTCCCAGTGACGTCACAAGCACTTGTCTAGTTTCATTGTTAAATCCGGACTGGTTTGATCATGCATGGATTGATGATAAATCATGTGATGACATTTTTCATGGACTTTGTGAAGTTTGTACAGTTGATCCTCCACTTGACCGTGGGTATACTATATGACTATCAAATTTTTACTAAATTTCCCCCCTCTGGTTGTCAAAAATGAGATAGTTATAATATTTTTCCAAAGATTTATTGATTGGTAATGAGAAATTAGTATGTGTGCCGCTTCAAATTACTGTTATCCCTTTTTGTTGTACAAGCAAAATAGTTGAATGACAATTTTGCATTAGGGGTTGAAATTTATATGCACAGCATCTGCAGCAGGTAATAACAGGAAATGGATATATACAGTTTGTGCTATAAACTTATTGCCTTACGTGATTTTTCTACAAAGAATCGAAATCGGAAGCTTTGCACAATAATATGAGTTCCAATTATGACTCACTGATCTGTTCTTCGTAAAAGCGATGCGGTTGTTCGAATATTGGTTTGTGATTATTTTGACAGGAAATTTATAGTTGCTTGAGACAAAGAAGATTCCAAATATTTCCTGTTAAAGGAATTGTATGCTGATATACATGAGTGCACAGTATGATATGTTTGTGCGTTTCCCACTTGTGGTATCTTGTATTGTGAGCATATATGTTATGCCTGATGTTGCTTATCATGTCTTCGGACTCGAGCTTGAGTTTGAAATCAGATATCTACTCGAAACAACATTTAATGTCATTAATTTATTAGATTAGATCATACTAACTGCAAAGATTATAAATAAATTAATAAAGTTTTTTCGGGTTTGTACCAAGGTACGCGACAAATAAATATGTTTTTTTAAACTGAACCGAATAGTATTCCTCGTCTCCAAACTTATACAATTCTGTCGACACAAATGCAATTACTTGAGTTATTCAAATAAAAGTGGACTGCATGAGCTAGGCCGATCTAAGATATAATGGATAAACAGACACACACATTCGTAAATTTGCAAAATAGAATTCATAAACCACATCATTGAACTTTGATTACATATATTGCTCAACATGTTCAGTATCTGTTAGAAGTAAAACTATTCATTGGTTGAATATTATTGAGATTTTCATATTTGTCCCGGTGTGGAGGAAACAGCAAAGGTGGCTGTATGCTAGACCAATTGTTTGAAAATCGCACCAAGTTCGTATATATGAGGCTATTTATATATCACATTGTGGACTTTGTTTTACTAATGCTTCACGGAATTGTTCTTACTTATGTGAGTGTTCATGTGGTTACTTTTAAGACAAAAGTCATCGTAGTTAGAGTAACATATTTTCTATTACTGGTTTGCCAGCACCACACAATTTTACTGCGGATGTGATTCGACTTGTTTATGACAGCGCGTGTTTACCTCAGCGCTACCCTCCGCGATTATGTATTTATTTGTGTATTGCCATATTTTTTAATACAGCGGAAAGCATGTATCTTAGTTTTCGTTTTCATTTCCTTTGTGATTCTTTACATGCTCCTAAATATTGTTTCAAGAGCATGTACTGACTTAAAAAAAAATTGGGAAATGGAATTGTAAAGTGTGCGATTTTGTAATTCCACATGAACTAATGACAGATGTATGCTCGTAAACTATCAATACAATTTTATTTTGAAGGCTCGGTGTGATATTTATTTGCAATTCCAGAAAAAACTTGTAAAAGTGGAAAAGTTTGCAGCGAGGATTCAATTTGTGTGATCCACGAGGGGAGTTGCTTTGAAGAATGTTATTGTCCGACGGAAAATACTATTATTGATGAAGGAGAAACATGCAGCGGTAAATTCCTTCAAAACTCCAATGTTTGTAACATCGATATAAGCTCCTGTTAACTTTACAAAGCAAATATACTTCGATTGGTTTTATTAGTGCATCTAAATATATTTATTTCGCGCGAACCGACATTTGCATTCTCTAATTTTACCCATTTTAAATTATTCAGATTCTAACCTTTTTGTAATTGTCAACGTTATTGCTAATTTGAATTTAGCAAATTCGTACAATGCCGTAATATTGTATTACGTAGCATTAATTCCATTTTTTTATATATTATTTCACCGTTGGAAAAATTATCGATTGATTGTTACATTTTTGAATTTTGAAAAGGCGTTGTGAACATCCTGTGTATCCCGATAAGGCTGTACGTTATATTTTATTATAAATATCTGTATTTGTTTAGTAAATACATGTATTGGTTTTGATTGTGGAGCAAACGCTGTTTGTGTATTTGACAAAGCTACCGAGAAAAGAAGTTGCAAATGCGATAAAGGATACTTGCCAACTGGAGCGGACGGGGCTGGATGCTATTGTAATTTTTATTTTTTTCCTGATTATATTTTATATCTACTCCCTTTCTCATTAATTTCTTGCCTATATCTTACACTCTGATAACTAATAGTTGTCTTTGACCGCTCCTATATACTTAACGAATGGCATATTTCTAGACACGAAGATGGGTTTATAGAACGTTATCCTAAATTGTTGATGTTGTTGAGACAAAGGTTGATTCGCTTCTTAACTAGCGGATCAGTCGATTTTAAATGTTTACTTGTTATGGTAGTGCTCTAAACCTAAATGGTTTTGAGAGAAGCGTTTTTAAAGATTAATATTTTGCAGCGTGGTTCACGGTGCTTATAGAACCATATGGGTATTGGTGTTTAATAACTAACCTCTTTATTTCTCGTAATTTGACTTGAAGCGACTGCATGCGACCCATCATGCGTAAACGCACAATGTGTAATAAATCCAGTAGGAGGTGTTCTTCCAAATGGAAAATGCGAATGTGATGCCAACTACATGCCTCATGCTACTGAAAACCATGAATGTATAGGTTTGTTTTACATTTCTAATTTCTCTATCACTGCTGACTGATGCGAATTCTTGATACAAAAAAATAAACGTAAATTAAAACTGTTCTCAATGTACTGTCAAATCCACAGGTTTCGTGTTGGTTCGTAGTTCGTAGGGGGACTGCCACGTCCACGCAGCGCGAAAAGTAGGTATTACTGGCTAGCTTAATCTGGTATGCGACATGAACTAGATTTTTAATCTAGTGCTGTTGGGGAAAAAAATCGTACAAATATTTAGGATCGATACTTAAAAAAGGATTCCGAATACAGGCAGACAGAAATGCCGACTTTGGCTACCCGACTCCAAGCTGAAAAAAGCCCTCCGTCTTATCCACAAGTTATAAAAAAAAACCAACAAACTTTGGCCAATGCAAGCGCCTTCTTAATTTCCTTTTTGCGACACCGAGTCAAATGTCGATTCCAATATCAGCATCAATAGAAACATTCCAAACTACGACTTCACAAACCTGTGTTTACCCAACGAGGCCTTTCTCGAAATAGAAGCTAATGAAAATCTCATTTTGTTCAATTTGTTTAAAAGTTATATACTAATATATATATTTAACTTCTGACACAACTATTGAATCTCAAACATAATGGTCTTCAATATCAACATTCAAAATTTAGACGATCAATGCGCAACGTCAGGTATTACTTGTACCAAAGCGACATGCTGTATCGTCGATGGTGCTACCCGTGCTCAAGGATGCGTTTGTGATGAAGGATATTATTACAAACCGTCTGATAGCGTATGTGTTGGTAAGTTAAGCTGTGTACTTGTATATGAATACATAAAAATAATATAAATAAGAGGGCGATTTTTTATTTTTGAATAAGTTAGGTAGGTAAAACGATAGTTCGGAAGTTCATTGGCATGAACTGTGGCGGGTGACTATAACACTGATATTAATTGTCATATCCCGTATTACAAACAGACACGTGATCTAAACCTAAAACAAAAGATAAGTACTAAACCTGGTACTTCCAACACATCTTTTTGGGTTAATGCCACTGAATCTTGACAGTTTAGGGATAATATCAAATACGTCCAAAAGGTGTTCTAGAAGTAAAACGGCGCCATTTTCAATTTGAGCATTAATGAACGCTAGTTAACTCCAGTACAATGAAAGAGTAACAAAAAATCTGATTGTTAGATCCACTGGATGGACTGGCATCTTGTGGGACCAATTTAATAAAAGTTTTGAATCACCTATCTACGCCACCAGCTGGAAAATGTATCTGTAAGGACAATTACCTGCCTGAACCAGCTCCCAGTACTGACTGTTTTTGTGAGTATTTTTTTCGGAGCTCCCGAAGTATGTGCATCAAGATGGCGCATAACCTGAACATAGTATGTGTGCCAGGGTTATCAGGTTGTGCGCCATCTTGGTGCACATACTTCTGGAGCGCCTTTTTTCTCTACACTACTAATGATATAGAGAAGTTAAAGTAGCAAAATGTATTCCTTGAACTTTGGAATGAATTAGTTTGGCTTTCTATCTCATAACTTGTGAAATCACAGGGCAAACATTAATTATATATTGGTTTAATTTTTCCTCTTTTTTTTTCCACAATTTAAAGATTTACTCGGATTTTATAATTGGGATACTCCTTTTTTATCATTAATGGACATTGGCATGTAAATTCAAGCGTTTGAAATATAGAAAACTCAGGCGGAGACGAGCTATTTGAAACATAACTACAGTTTTCATTGGCATGACAACAATTCAAGACGCTCCAGAAGTATCGGTTAGGGTTCAGGGTGTGCGCCATCTTGGTGCACAACCTGAACCCCAACCGGTACACATACTATATTCAGGTTGTGCGCCACCTTGGTGCACATTCTTCGGTAGCACACAATTCAAATGCATTATTGTTGAAACTTCTCAATATACAACAATCAACATAATGTGTTACTTCTTAAACGAATTGACTACTTCAATATATATTTTTAATTTTTAAAGTTAATTTTTGTATGAATTTTAAATACATGAGAAGTCTTTATAAAAATTGAACAATATTTTCCTACATTTATTTTTATCCCTGTATTATTGGTCAGAATATAAATTGAATTTACGACCATATAGGATGGTCATAATAATACCGCCAAATAAGGCCAGGTTTAACCTTTGGTTTTATTTTTTGAACAGTGGATCAATGTTCGTCTGCCGGAACTACCACGTGCAAGGATAACGCTGTTTGTGCCCTTGTAGATCCACCCACCAATTTGCAAGGTTGTGTCTGTTTAACGGGTTTTTACAAGGATCCTTCTGATACCCTGAACTGCCTAGGTAAGTCAGGTGGTGTTGCCTTATAGTTATGACAAAAAATGCTATTGGGATACAGCACCTTGGCGATAGAGCAAGTATTCCGCAAACAAGTTAAACGAACAGTGCAAAAGTTTTTAGTTTTTTTTTCTTCCAAATTTGAAATTATTCTTAGATAGATAGATTTAAAATGAAGAATTCTGGAAGGCGAACAAAACCTTTAAAAAAGCCTAAAAAAAAAACTAAAAAAAACATGGGAAATATCATGTGCCCGCCCACCAGCACACAAACAAAAATAAATTACAAAAAACACAAACCTAATTTAAACAAGGCTTGGGCCAGAAATGATCAAACAAATGATACTCGAATGTATAGGAACATCCGGGCTGTTATACTTTTGAAACACCTAAGCTATTGTAGTAATAACGACCAATTTAATATGTACCGTATATGCCAGCAACTTTCTGTTAATTAAATGTTTATTTTGCCCCATCTCGCAGCAGCATAAGCTGAATATCCTGTACGGTCGTTGAATGTTTGTGTGTTGATCTCTTTAAAAAAAAAACATTATCCGCAATACCTTTCCATTAATTTTTTTCATTCTTTTTACACCTTGTGAATGTTCTGTTTCATACTGCAGCCGAACTTGATCATCAGTGACCGTCAACACCAATTTGTTCATCACACTGTGATTCACCGTGTTCCATTTCACATACAAAATCCAGTTGTTCGAGTTCCATGATCTATTCCCGTAATCCCATATGCTTAAAATTGTCCAGGTTTTGTAATTTATCGAGAAACCATGTTAATCCAACCCTTATGTGCGCTATGAAAATTGTTCCTTTTCTGGAAAAAAATACACGGATTTGAACAGATATAAAACAGAGCATCAAAACCAATAACGAATCCATTCCTTTCAATGTTGTTTGCAGTGATCTTGTTAATTTTTATTGCTACCATATTGCACCACGGCAGTTTACAATGAATATTCTGAACACAAAAATAGAATATCTTGCTAACAATAGTATCGTAATAAATGCAATACTTCTTCAGAAATGTAAGCTGTAAAAACAAAGATAAATTAACGACATAATTGCAGTAAAAATGGATGAAATTCGTCGGATTTGATGTCAAATCAAATGAATTTAACTCATGTTTAGTTTGATAGAAGTGAACTTAAACAATGGGAAACACCTGGCACAGATGGGTTCATGCTGTTTTTGCATTTTGTTTCAAAAGCCTAATATTTTAAAATATTTGGCATGTGTCCATCACTTTCAGCAGTGAATTTAAGAGCTACAGAATAAACTTGTATGAAACCCACTATGACACAAAAAATAAAAAAAGACTCACTAAGTTAGATTCATCACTGGTTGGTACCATATGTTGAGAAAAATCCTAACGCGCATTTGTTTGTAAATATTGAAAATAGATCTGAGTACTTATTATGTTCCCATTAAATTAAGCAGGAACGTTTTTTGTAGATTTGTGTAAGGGAATAACGTGTCCAACCAACACCCACTGCATAATTTCCAGGGAAACGGGAAGTCCTGTTGCTCGATGCATTTGCGACACCAACCATATGCCTTCGGTGGTGCCTGGTGCAGGATGTGTTGGTAAGTTGTATTTTTATACTGATATTTATTTTATTATATTTTTGTCTGAAATGATCTTGTTTTAAGCACAAGAAACTTGTTTGTGAAAGACTTCAGTTCACTTTACGTATTACTAAATAATATATATAGTATTTGTTCTTCTTTGCGATTTTTTTTATATATGCGATTTTTTTTTATATATTTCTTTTAAATTGTGTATGTAGAATTCGTAGTTTTCAGCATGGTGAAGAAATAAATTACTGATTACTGATTACATTGATAAAAAAAAGACAACTGGTCAAAAAGATGTGGATATACTTAAAAAATATGTTTGAAACGACAAGCATGCACTCAATAAATCAGCAAAACCTAGACAAACAAACAAATATATAAAGTCCTCCCAGAGAGATTTGAAGGCACTGACTACCCCCCTACTCTTGAATTGCTCATACCCTTGGGTTTATGGTACTTCATTATTTTATATTTACCAGTGTTTTAATTACAATCACAAATCTCATAACGATACATGCCCACAGTTTATTAGCTTTGGGTAAACTCCGAATATTTTTTATGAGATAGAATGATAGATAAAGGAAGTTGTATTGGGAATAGGAATGGATATATGACACTAATAGGCATTTTAATGGCCTCCTAAGTAATGGTTGTATTTCAGTAATAGTACACAAATTGTGCACTACGAATCGAGAGAGCCATGTGATTCTGAAGTGTAAAAAACACCGATATTTTGGTTATATTGTTTTTATAGTCCTGCAAACCTAACAGCATATGGTTTGAACTGAACTGACAATGCTTTGTACAGAAATAACGAATAGGCTCAAATTTTTACTGTCAATTACAGCTGATGAATGTGCTAATGGCAATATAGCATGCACAACAAATGAAGTTTGTAGAATTTTGAACGTGCTGACACAAGCTCAAGGTTGTGTATGTGAAGATGGATTTTACTCCGTAGCTGATATATGCTCAAGTAAGCCCTAAAATTGTTCCAAAAATTCTGGTGCAATAATCTGAAGAAAATATGAATATCATAGTTGCAGGAAGTTCACTTTATGATGTTAAATGCGTCGCAAATCTGAATCACAATTTTGAACTGGATTCAATTCAGAAACAATTAGTCCGAAAATTATTAAATAGAGCTATTTCAAAATACTACTCATTGTTACTACCAACATGGCAAACAGTATTTAGCATGAAAAAAATTGTCTGTCAGCACGGATCTGATCGCAAAGCTTTACCAACTAAAAATTCGTGTTCGATAAAGACAACTTTTAAATTAAATTCCTGAACTCATTCCACTTTCCACATTGTATTGCGTTCCCTAGTTTGAACTGCCTGCAGTTACTGTGAACATAAATGTCTGAACATGCAAGTTCTCTCGCTTGTACATTTATCACTTCAGAAATTTTTGACTTATTTAATAGATCGAGATCAGACATTCCTATTTGAAACAAACTCATTGAAAATCAACTATTCAAACTTCAGTTGCTACAAAGAAACTATCGTCATGGTAATTCCGCTCTCTCTAGTAAATTCGGTTCATTGCTTGCATAGTAGACCACAGACCATGGAAAAGTTTTAATAGACACTATATATGTGAATAATTATAAAAAAAACTCACGAGATTGAAGCGATTGCGTTTCATATTCACCTTGTTGAGAGTGAAGTTCGTGATTTACGGGGTAATAAATGTTGTCAATACATTAATGGGCTATTCCAAGTGACACTACGGGACAATTCCAGAAATTTTGCATGTTGTTAGATTCAATATATTTTCACATTTTCAGCTACATGTTTTGTTTCATTGTCCAATCAGTTGCTTTATTGACTATGTAAAAAATTGCACAGAAGTTACACCCAACCTTACTAAGTAGATAAAAAAAATATAGTAAAATATAGCGTGACACTACAGGACGGCAAATCCACCATGCACTAACAGTACGTTGTGTTGTGCTGTAAATTTTTGCGATGGTGCAGTAGGAGCCCATAATATTTTCTGGCGCAGTAGCTGAACTACCCCTCTATGTGCTGCTCAAGTTACTTAATGTAACACCGTAAATCCATGCCAATAATGTGCATATTGTATGTGACACTACAGGACGTGACACTACAGGACATTTTTCCACTTCGGAATAGCGGCATCTATCATCTCTTAAAATTCTGGTAATAAATCGTTAAATGGGTGAAGAAATGTTCTACAGCACTGCAAACATTTAAACTTTATTAATTTAAATCCAGTGCGTCAATTCCATATGAAATAACTGTACCACACAATCAAACACTTTGTGTCAGGAATCATCACAAAATATGTCAATTATACCAAAATTTCTACATTTCAGGCCATTTTTTAAAAACCATCAAAAACCTGGGTGAAATTTTAAATTGTTCGATGAAATGAATGCAGTCCAATAAAATCCCAATGTCCTTTGATATCAAAAATGAAAAAAAAATTACTTTTACTAAACTTTTTAAAAAATTGATGGAATTCAACTTTTGCTTGGAATGGCCCTAATATTTGTAATTATAAATAAACCGTTACGCTTTTGTAGCACTTAAGATCGTGTGATCCTTCGCGGTGATGTGCTGTTTCAATTATTCTCAGCAAAATGCATTTTTTTACAATCAGTGTTAAAATTTCCTATTTCAATAAGTTGTAGAAATTCTATGAAATGTAAACAGACTCATAGGCGAAGCAAAACCTTCATATTGCAACTTGTTGTTTGTGAAATAATTGGTAATTAAAACTCGGAAATTTCACGAAGCTTTTAAAGTTTTTGTGTTATTGTATATCTGGTTTTGAACGATAATATAACAAGATATAAAATTGAATTTTCAGCCTGCCCACAAACACGTTACATATTTCCTGGTACACCAGCAGTTGAGAACTATTTGTTGGTAGATATAGATATGCCTGAACTCACAGAGTTTACAATCTGCAGCAAGTTTAAAGTAACACCTGGAACAGCGGTCGGATCAGGAACTCTGTTTTCTTACGCTACAGAAACATACGACAATGCTATCAAGATTATTTTTGACGATCCTGAAAGTCATACCTTTGCTTTTTTAAATGACTATGATGATACAACAAATACAGCATCGATCTCGTTAAGAACTGCCGGAACTGTTAATATTTTTCATTTTTGTTGGGTCCTCTCGACTACTGATACAGAGGTACAGCTTTTTGTCGACGGTACTCATTACGTTACGCGTACATTAGCAGGAATAACGTCGTTGCCAGCGGGATTTGGAACGATAGTAATCGGTCAAGATCAAGATGAAATGGGAGGTGGATGGACCGCCTCTACTGAAACGTTCAGCGGAACAATAGAAAATTTGATGATGTGGTCGAAGAAACTTACGAATACTGAAATTTCAGTCTTAGAAAACAATGATTGTGATTGTCCCAGCGATGTACTTTTCCATCTGACCCCAGACGTTGTAACCGTGAAAGGATCTGTTACAGTGGATCCCGATACCGACTGTGTTGATTAAATAAAATGGTACGTATTGTTGGACATTGAATGATTTTTCAGGAATGCGTGCAAATGGACACACCAAATATTACATTTATTCTTTTCCCTTCTACTTAAATAAGGATCGATATATAATTGCTGTTTAATTTGGGTAAATGATTTTTTAACCCGATTTACTAGACTTTTAGTAATCAACTATCTTTAACAATTTAAGTTCTGGTATTATTATGCTTTTATGTTTTGGAACATGCTGATGTTCATACAGTTGGATATTGAGAGGCAAATATACGAAAAGTTAAGAAAAACTTCATTAGGATTATTTCAGCATGACTATTGTGACAGTTTTACTGCTATCTGATGAAGATCATTCGTCAATTTGGATCCATTGTCTATCGTATAGCACTATCTCTTGCAGAAATGGAGTTAAAAATGCTCATGAAGTTGAAAAAAAACGCAAATGTTTGTTTGCCCATGAAGGATATATTAGATGAGATACAATCCAAAGATGCAATCATACGGTAACGCCGTTACCACACTTATTTTTATGTATATTTCCTAAACAAAGTCATAGCAAAAAGGGTATAATAGCAGAGGGAACGTTTTCGCTACTTTCCGACGAAAAGAAATAATCAAAATCCTTCAGTGAGATCCATTAACTGAATTTTGACAAAGAACTCTTGACGTTGTGTTCGCAAACAATGAAATATATACTACCTCATTATGACGATTAAAGTGTTGATTGCATAGAGTAAGGTCTAAAGCAGGGGTTCCAAAGATTTTTTTAAGACGACTCCAAAGACAACTTCAAAGTGTCCAGTGCGACCCCAGGTCAATATATATATTTTTCATGGAACTTTAGAGCTTCTTTCTCTGGACTTTTGAGTTTGGTCATGTGGTGGTATTAGGTAAAATAGGCTAAAACCAAACAGTGACGTCACAATAATTACCTACATTTTTATAATCTACTATAGTCCAGTGGTTCTCAAACTAGGGTCCGCGGATCTTTTGGGGTCCGTGAAGCACTTTCGGAGGGTCCGCGAAAGAAATCTGTTATATTGCTCATAGTTTGATAATACAAAACTTAAGTGCCTAAATTTGCAAATACATTGTATAATAATAATTTGTTGTCTTTTGCTGCTTCACAATCATTGCTGGGGACGCTGATTCTTCTAAATGCTATTTTACACTTTTATATTGAAAGATAGATAGTGCTAAGTTTTAGTTTTCAACTATCAAATTTGGCTTTTGACATAGAGTAACGGTGGGGATGGCCTATATTTTTAGGTTTTCATCTCGGTAATATTAATTACAAGATGCCTTCTAAAATTAAAACTATGATATGACGAATCGTATGTAAAGTTAGGGTTCATCGCGATAAACGTAGATGAGGAGATGTTTTTCACTATACCGTACGGCGCATTTATTTTTGTTGTTGTGATATTTTAATGTTTTATTTTAGTGCACAAGGCCGCGAATCATCAAAAAAATTGCAAAGGGGTCGTCAATGATTTTTTTTTAAAAGTTAGAAAACCACTGTACTATACTCTATCTATAGCCATGAACATGGAACAATGCCTATGGGCCTGTTTTACAGTAAGCCATGGTACAAATTGCTAAACGTTACATGGTTTGTAAAATCTTAGATGTTTTGTACATCCATCCTCTGCCATACCCACAGAGATATATTTCCAGTTCAGTGGCCATACATCAGCGACCCCATGACCTGTTTGTAATCCTACTTATTTATCACTCCGACCCAATTTGGGGTCGCGACCCCTGGTCTAAAGTTTAGATTCTCAAATGTTGAGATGATAAGCCTGTGAAATGTAAATGCACTGCAATGTTTCTGTCAGGATTCTTCATAATCAGAAAGCACTCATGTACCAATCATTTTATGTTATCATTGTGTCAATTAAGTTACGGAACACAAGAACAGCTGTAAGAATTTTAGCTAGAATGTAACAAATACCTAATGCAAAGTTAAATCAAGGGTCTGGAAAGACGTAATCAGGAAAACGCATCGGCAACTAAATACAGCAATATTAAAATTTAATTGAATCGTTTAGTTTAGGACGAAAAATTATTAGTTGGAATGAAATTAACTTGTAATACATTACTTGTAATACACTTGTTTTACATGCTTTTCCATTCCACGGAAGATACATAAAAAGTTTGCCTCGAGATCCCATTTCACCTAATTTTATATTCCCGTCGGGACATATATATACGTTGCTGCTTGGCTTTTAATACCGAGCCTGAATATTCCTGTAAAAACGTGTAGCTGAACGCAAAGTTTTGACAAAAAAGCGAAATGGCGGTATGTAAAAAGGGGTTATTGTGTATTCATTGGAGGGAGAGACACCAAAGACGTGTTGCTCATGCGTAACTGCCATGAATCAGTAGAAACAGTAATAACTAGAAAACAAAAGAATGGTTCAAAACGAGATGTTGCTTGTCAATGCTCCACCGTCTTATACAATAAATATATAGACGACTTAAAGCGAAAAAGTAACAAATGGTGGCGAAAAGTATTTGGTGGCAACAATATTTTCCGCCTATTTCGCACGGTTGTATACAAGTCGTATAATGTATTTTGTAAAACCAATCACAAAAAAATCCATACGCTCAGTATTTCGTGAGTGTTGAGGAAGAAATGGTCGGCCGTGGGAGAAGCAGCATAATAACATGGCAATTTGTGAATCTCCATTGACCGAGTTCAGCGAATTTGATTCCCAGATGGTTCCCCAATTTCACACTGTATTTCTGTTGTTCAATCCCACTGGGACAATTGAATCCCAAGAATAAATACCGTTGGCACACATATCTCCCGGAATGGAAAAATACGAGGAACAGCATAAATTCATATCAAACATACATATAAACACAATCTGCATTGTTTTCAATTAAAAATTTTTCGCTATAAGGCTATTAATTTTATTTATTTATTGCATATTGACCCACGTTCACGTTTGTATTGTGGCCGCCAAAAAGAGGGAAAATAGATTCATAAAATGATTCAACAGCTATCTGCGGAACTATTAGCCATAAAATATGAGCTATGACGTATGTTTGTGAGCGCACGTTGCTGTAGCATGGTCAAAAACGTGTTTTTCTTCTCATCAATTGTGACGTCACGGACTGGGAAGATTCGATTCGAGTCCTTGACCTGTTACTCAGATTCGACAAATCTCTGTGATGCCAGACTCGTTCCAACCCTACAGTGGCTTCTCACTAATGTAGATGTACCTAATCTCGTCTATACTGAAATTTTCATATCTGACAACAAAATGTAAGCACTTATTTCAGAATAAATCGATATTGCTTATAACATAAAACTATTATACCAAATTATTTATTAAATTCAATTCAATATTTTTCCCATGTCAGGATAAAACTACAACAAATACAAATAATTCTTCTCGCAATATACACACTTTCACCTTAAAAATGAAAATTTCCACTCTGCAGCAAACAACAGCAGCATCATTTACTGCTACCGCCATCATAATTAACTAATTTAATTCATCAATCAATAACTCTAGTAGCAATTTTTTGGTAGATTTGTGGCCCACCTGGAAATATTTCTGTGGCCCAGCAGCGAACCATGGTCCGCTGGTTAAAAACCGGTGACCTAGTCCAACTAATTTATGAACTGGCAAAAGTACATTACTTGATGGTAACATTATCGATTTTATCAAACAAAGATCATTTTAATGAACAATTATTAATTCTTTAGAATTGGTGTTCCATAAATTTGGCTTCAACATTTAAAATAAGCAGGCTACTCAGTCGCGACCGCAATTTATCGGAAAGGAATATAATTTGATTCACAAATCACATTTCCTGTCGTACAGATGACATTTATATTTATTCTGTTTTTAGTGCATGATACGGCATTTTCCACTCAATTTTATCGACTGAATTGGTATCAAATATTGATTGATTTTTCTTTCAGTATAGCTAGTGTGTATTGTGTCACACATGATAGGCCCTATAAATATTTGGTAAAAAGGGCTACGTTGTCATAAGCAGGTGTTGTTACTTACAATTCACAAATTGCTGACGACACCTCGCCTATCACATGTCCGAAACAAACAATGAAGAGCATTAGTACAACAATGTACACAATTTTAAAATCAATAAAAATCGTATTAAAACGTCCTTTATAAGAAATTTGTACTGATTTTCATTTTTTATCCTGTTTGAATACCATAACGCTGGTATTACAGTCTAAAAAGCTTAAACGTTGTTCAATTTAACTCTAAAGATATCATGGCGAGTCTGTTTTAGCTGTGATATACCAGAATTCGATGGTTAAAATAGAAAAAGAATTTTTTGCATTCATATCAAATTACTACTAGGTTTTATGTTAGAAAAGACTTCCGGAGGGATAGGAAATTTCAGGTGAAATCAGGTGAAGTAAGTTGATAAGATTTATAAAAAGCTGTAAAGCAAGTTTATTCCGAAATTAGGGCAACTTTTTGCGACTTACTCTGAAGACGAGACTATAAATACAAAAATCAAACAAATATAACAGATATTGTGAAACTAAAATAAATATTTGTAATTTCAATGGAGCAATTCCGATTTCAGCAAAGATATTACCTCTCATAAAATCACCTCATCACGGTTGTTCAGTTGTTATGAGACTGAATAAGTATGGGTATTATTTGACTTACTGGCTATATTTGCTGACTAAGCAATTCAAAGTCTGATTTGATCCAACGATGTAGTGGCTGAATATGGTGGCATGAAAGTCAAAATCTGACGAGATTACAGCGAGCAAAACGTATTTTCCCCGATAAATTTTGCTTATGATATTAAAAAAGGTGCAAACATTCATTACAAGTAACAATTGGGGCATAATTTTCCACAGGAATCAAACAAGTATTTTAGTAACATACTTCAAAATGCCATTCGTTTTGACAATAATTATCAATTGTGCATCTACCTCTGGTACACATTAACCAAATGTTGGTTATATACTAAAATCCACACACATTCAAATTTTTGCAGTATTCAAGGATAGCATTTTGCTGGAATAAGGTTTCAGTTAGCATCATTTTCAAAATAGTGAGGACCATTTCAGGTAGAAATAAATATGATATTTATAGTATTCATGATAAATATGACAATTTCGTAAGAATCTTAGCAGTTTAATATTTAATTTTGTCATTGATTGTTCTGATCAGATTACCAATATTTATTTAATCACACAAATTTGATAAAGTATATCTACACTGCACGGTAGGTGTGTGCAATAGTTGGTTAGGTTTGAGTAGCTAGAAACTGGTCCACGCATAGAGGTGAGACCACTAGTTTTGGGATGCTTTTATCTCTGCAACTTTTTTCTAAATGTAAGCACGATATTACCATGGAAACATTGAACTGCCATAATACATGATGGAAGTTGCATTTATTTGATGCATTTGCTTATTAAATGATTTTAAAACGTCGTAAAACATCTCTTAATATCTATTATCTAGCTCCTTGTTGAGAATATCTTAAAGATACTTACAAAAGAGTGCGGAATATTTTAGAACCTCAGCAAGTACACTTTTATAAAAAATGGCAGAAAACAGGGTTATTCCTGAAAATGGCGAAAAGTTTTACAGAATGGGTATGTCGGATGAAGCCTTCACAAAAGCTGCGAAAGACATGATAGAGTACGTCATCGGCTATTACAAAAGTTTGGATGGAAGACAAGCATTTCCGTCTGTACAGCCAGGTAAAATATGATGACCTATCTGTTTGATTAAAGTTGGGTATTTCTAACTGTACTGCTACTCATAAGTCAATTTTTATAAGTGTGATACATGGTGTTTTGGGGAATAGATTTAAAATATACTACAACATTCACTCACAGATTTCAAACAATTTGAAAATTTATTATCATTTGTATATAAATAAATTTGTGTTCTCTAATCGTGTATTTTGATTGAAAAAATAAGGTTCCGTTAAGTCGCTAACCAGATTGACGTAGGCCTACTTACTAACTTTAATTAAGTTTGGACAGAGCATGCTGCAATTCAAACATGAACTACCAAGAGAGAGATATTAATAGGTGCAATATCGGGTTGAATGCGTTACACATTCAGATATTATTATATGACTTTTCACATTATTTGAATGTCAACCAAACTGAGTTTATTGTATATTCTAGTATTCAACGTCTATGTTATTGTATTTAAGGATTTATGAGAAAGTTAATTCCCGAGAATGCGCCACAACATCCAGAAAAGTGGGAAGATTTGTTTGCTGACCTTGACAAAGTCGTTATGGAAGGGATGACTCATTGGCAATCTTCGAGATTTTTTGCCTACTTCCCATGTGCAACGAGTTATCCAGCAATACTCGGAGATATTTTGTCTGATGCTTGTGCATGTATTGGCTTTACGTGGGTGAGATGGACGCCTGATATAGATATTTGATAAAATAATATAGGCCTACAAAAAAAGTGGAAATCATGCAAAAATAGAGGCTAAAAGAATAATAACACATTAATAACTTGATAACATTTGATGACGTGATAAAATTATCATGCTGTGGAAAATACACTGATTTGGCCCTAGCAATACATATTCATATCTAAATAACGCTAGTTAACGATGCGCGTTGGTCTGACGGTTGGTGCATGGTGCCACCTTAACGATGATAACAATGTGTGAATTTATGGGTTGAATCCGGTTAAAGATAATAAAATGACAAAGACTTCATGGATTCTCCACCGCCGCATGGTGGCTCACGTACCAGCTGTTCGGTTAGGGCTTCCACCGAATTCCACGGGAGGAGTAGAAGGGGAGGCTCCGACCCCCTACTCTAACAGGATAGGGGCGCTATCACATGCTGACAGGTTTTGCTGTGAACATAACACCAGACTGTGACAGGGATTTCATTTCATCTGTTCTCACCTGCCAATCACGTACGTTACTTTTCAATTTTAGGCATCAAGTCCATCGTGTACCGAATTGGAAACTGTAGTGCTCGATTGGCTGGGGAAAGCCATTGGTTTGCCTGACTGTTTCATACACAAAGGTGTTGGCCCAGGACTGGGGGTTGTCCAAGGTATATATATATATATTTATTCATCCAACACACATACTATATTGTATATATATATAAACAGTATGTGTGTTGGATAAATAAATATGATTACGACAGATTAGACAGCAATTATAAATATTTGGAATACTGTAAAAGCTTCGACGTGACGTTAACAATTATTCAACCAATTTGTATGACGACACGTTACGAGATTAGTCAGGTTTAAACGAAGACCTAAGCTTTATTCAAGATTTCTTGGAAATATTTATTTTGTACCACATTTATTCCATTGTTGAATAGTGAGACCAATTAGCTGAGTGATTTTTGATTCTTTAAAACCAATCTAATATTTCCTTTACCGGTTATTTGAAATAAATTCTCTCAATGAAAATATATCTGTCAATTTTTTTTCAGGTACCGCTAGCGAAGCAACCATTATGACAATTCTGGCAGCAAGGACAAAAACACTGAAAAAATTGGAAGCTATATATCCTAACCTTTCACAACATGAGCTTGCCTCAAAACTTGTTGCATACACATCAGAATATAGTCATTCATCGGTAGAAAGAGCATGTGAGTTTTATGCATAATCAATAGCGTGGTTTCCGAGGTGGTGGCAAATGCATGCGATCTCCCGAATTAAACAAGTGCTTTACATGATGATATGAAACTGAACTTGGCCCCAGTTATTAAAAGCAAAGACTTCGAATGAAACTACCACTTTTAGATGAATCGATTCAAGGCCACATTCCATCATTCGACTGTAAGCGAAAGTGAATTGCTTAAAGTTAATTGCAAATCAGTATATTGCATTTTTGGTACTCCCGTGGTATGTGAACCAAGATGGCGGACCCGGAACGTAGTATGCCTTTCAGGTTAGGGTTAGGCCATAATTTCAGGTACAAATACTACGGGAGTCACTTGGCTAGTTCCCGAACTCGTAATAGAACTAAAATAAGGAAAATTGGAATAGAATTATGGCCTAACCCTAACCTGGTAAACATACTACGTTCCGGTATCCGCCATCTTGGTTCACATACTACGGGAGCGGCCAATTTTGTAACATTTACACCAACGAATATTTCCCCGAGATATCGTTATGATAGTTTACACTGACCTATAACATAAGATGGCCCAGTTTCCAATTACTTCAAAATCAAGACGGCTGCGTTCAGAACAATTTTAAAGCATACAAAATTAAGTTTAACGTAACGAACTTGCTCTTCTATGAATATTATATTTAAATATCTTTATCTGAAGTGCTAGTATCTACAAAAGTGCACTGCACTGTAGATTTCAAAATATTCAACACGAAGATATAATTTTAATATTTACATCTGACTTACAAGAATGCTTATTGTGGACAAACTTGGCCCACTTTGGAGCATAGCGCTTTTTTTTTTGAAAACCAAAAATCTCAAGGCGAAATGAATAATTGTAAGTTTTCACAGGTCTCATAGCAATGGTGCATTTACATAAAGTGACTGTTGATAAGGATATTGCAGTTAGAGGAGAAGCATTAAAAAAGGCCATGGAAAAAGACAAAGATGATGGAAGAATACCATTTTATGTGAGTTTTAAATATTATTACTCACAGAAATATTGAATAAATTTTTCAGTCGAACATGCTTTATCACAATCTAGAGATATATTCAGGAAATTGACTAAAATACACCTATTATTTATGGACAAATACGTTCACAATCAGTAAAATTGACCGCGACAAAGGGTGAGAAATGCGGCTGCACGCTCATAATAAATTAATGCAAATTGAATCTCGAACTGAAATATACGCAATTCGCATGGTTATATTTGTAGTGAATGAAATATGTTTTAAAACCGTCTTCTTTTAACTCAGGTTTGTGCAACCCTTGGTACAACGGCCTGTTGTTCATTTGACAATCTTCAAGAAATCGGAGAAGTTTGTAAGTTGATGGCGGTAATTTGAGTATGACAATTTAAAATGTCAATGAATCACTTTTTTTATAATTGCTATGCACTTTTGTGAGCAACCTAAAATTTTAACGAAAAAGATCAGAGGAACCGATTTAAATTTCTTACATTCAGGTAATAAAGAGGATGTATGGCTTCATGTTGATGCAGCATACGCCGGATGCAGTTTCATTTGTCCTGAATTTCGACATCGAATGAAAGGAATTGAGGTGGGAATACATAATACACTGAATTTACTTAGCATGAATAACCAGATTTATTAACTCGGACTCAAAATATTAGTTACAATAAACAAGATCAAAATGTTTTTTTGACTGTTGGAGCAATTGTTTCACTCCTTCAATAGATAAAAATGGAAATGTCCGTTAAAAAGCCATTTTACATCGTTTTATATTTTCTCATAATTTAGCACTAAATTAACTTCAAATTGGCTTTTATTTTTTAACATTCCACCACTACGTTTCTCCTACATTCCTTCCGCCTCCCCTTTCGATTGCAACGAGTGAGTGTTCAAAAACGGCATATTTGATTCGTACGTCGTATTTCTAAATTACGTATGTTGCCCTTTCTAAAACATTCTATTATGAAATCAATACTATAACATGCCAATTGCTTTCGGTCAGATGGTTACCTCTTACAATTTCAATCCACACAAATGGCTGATGGTGAATTTCGACTTCTCACCACTTTGGTAAGTTTATATTATGAAAAACTGTGGCCGATCGGTTTCTATATTTGTATAGTGCTGGAAAATTATTCTTTAAGACCGATAAGGCTGTTTAATTTGAGTAATAGTGTATAAATTTAAATAAATTCCGTCAAGCCCAACGAGGATCATCATTGGTAGCTGGTGTCTTTACTTTTGCTTGTATACGAATCCACTAGCGCAAAACCATAGAAGGACTATAATGAGTTCGTCCCTTAGAAGCCTAATGGATATACAAATCATAAATCTTTTTTGTTTCGGGAACCAACAATTTCTATGTTGAGCAAGTTGTTGGTCATATATATGGTTGGAATTTTTGGTCGATTTAGATTTTTCTAACTTGATGTAATAATTAGCAAAGTCAGCAAGTAATATAATTTTATTTATTGCGAAATGGTAGTTGACTATGAGCAAATGCGTGTGCCAACTGCCAATGTAAAATCTTATATATTATGCTATTGTTGAACACACAAGGGTAACTATATGAGTATAACGAGGGTAAATATTCCCTAAAATCGATGTTGTCTCAAAATGTCGAATTCCATGTGTTGAACTTGTCCTACGTGGCCCGCACTTGTCTTTTTTGTGTGACTTGTGTGTGGTGTATGACTGACTGGTGGAACAAATGATACAAGGGGGGCATGTGAGACACGTGGGGAACGAGTGACAAATGATACGACTGAGACAAGCGTCAAACAGGTGGGGCATGCGGAAAAAGTGAGATTCAACATTTTTGAGATACTCAAAAAACGTACAATAAAGAGGTTTTACGTTTATTTTCCAATGAATTCAATAACTGTTTAACACGTATTTCAGGGTCAAAAATAGTTTGGATTTAATCAATTCATTCAAACTCAATCCATTATATTTACGCCACGACGAGGAAAACGTTGCAATTGACTACAGGGTAAGCTGCTTAACTTAATTTGTTAACAAATCAATTTCACAATGAATGTAAACCAATCAAAGAAATATTGAATACATTTATCTATCTCGGGGTCGAATATATATATATACTAACACATTTTTGTATTGTTTACATATATCAATTTTTCTGTATATAAATGGCTTGACTGTGCAATTTTTATCAGATATAGATGTACATCATACTAAAAATCCAACTTATTTAGCACAACCGAAAAGTTCTTGACTCTTTCAAATTACCCCCTAGTTTACAGATGAAACACATGTACAGGTTCATATGCTTTCACGTACAAATTTGGTGGTATGTACACCAAGATGGCGGACAACCTGAAACCTACCTAACCTGGTACACATACTATGTTCAGGCTGTGCGCCATCTTGGTGTACATACTGCGGGAGCTTCGAAATTCGGGGCAAATGTTGCAAAAAGACTTGCGTTAAATTCACGGATATGACTAACACAAAGTTTTGTTTCTTCCAGCATTGTCAAATTCCTCTAGGCAGAAAATTTCGTGCATTGAAACTTTGGTTTGTTTTTCGACTTATCGGTATCGAAGGACTGAGACATAAAATCAGAGAAGACGTAGCGTTGGCGAAAATGTTTGAATCTTATGTGTTAGAAGACAAAAGATTTGAAATTGTATTTTCCGTTGAACTTGGACTGGTTTGTTTTCGACTCAAACTATACAAAAATGACAGAAAGGTAACTCGATAATTCATTATGATTAGGAAGGGAGATTGTCGTATGTGAGAATGTGATTTGTTGATACCATTTTTCACAAGAGATAATAATTATTTCGAATAGTACAAATCACATTGGAAAATGTTTGTGGAGTTATGTATGCTTTGTTTCTGGCTTGTAATGAATCTAGAGCAAATATAAAGTTTGTATGTGTGGAAGAGGCCATACGTTGTTCTGAATTGTATGAGGCGTAATAGCGTTTTGATTTACCTTGCCCAGATGCTATAGGTAAATATATTTACAATTGAAAAAGTAGTAAACTTTGCTATATTTCTGATTAACAGAAAAACAGAGATATCAACGATCGTCTCATGAGACAGATAAACGATTCCAGAGAAATTCATTTCATATCGTCGGAAGTTGAAGGAATCTATTTTCTTCGTGTGTCAGTGGGAGTTATAGCATGTGACGAGAATGCGGTGAAGAATTGCTGGGAAGTAATAAAAAGACATACTAATTCACTATTCGATCAAATAGACCCCAGTAATAACTAAGTAAAATAAAAGATTGAAGTTACTGATAATTACTTCAAAATTTTGGACCATCAACAAAGGAAAAAATAAACATAAGATACAGTGACAAAAATACAATCTAGCCCTATACTCAAAACGTATCAGTACTATTCCATCATTCGACATACGCTAGGCAGACCGCTAAAATTGATTTAGGTCACGAATGCAGTGCGAGACGACGTACATTCAAAATATGTGAAAACTAATTTAAAGTGTAATATGTATTGTATTTAAAAAGAAATTATAGGGTAATATTTCAAGGTTAACTCTCAATATATATATACATATATTCAAAATTTAGAATTCTTTTGTATACAATTACTGCAATGATACATTAACTTTATTTTTCATTCACCAATATAATGAAAATATATATGCTATATAAAAATGTCCCCATCTGAGTGTCCTTACCCCAGTAGGCTACTATTTAAGGTACTTTAGCGGAGCAAATCATATCTGAACTCTTTCAGAGATCAATAAAAACACAATAGATTGCCAAATGTATATTCTAGAAGGTTGGACAATCGAATAAATCCAAATAACAGATAACAAAATAAGCTTGAAACGTTAACGCAAGTATATGTGATGAAACCCAACTTGTAACTAACTAAAAACCATAAAACAAAGACAAGCAACACTCGAGCGAGGGAAAATACGTAATCAACTTTTGCGCATAAAATGTTGCACAAATATATCATAAAGATATTGAATTGGGGAAACGACCTTGATTCAGGCAAATAACATGCACTGTTAACAATAGATGATGAAAGGTATTGAAATACACAGCAGGCCTAACTTTTCTTTATTTACTCGCTACGAAGGATTTGCAAATTTAAAAAAAATTGAAAAAATAAATATATTCTAACGCATCATAAAAAAGCTATATATATATTCTATATATATGTAATTCATTCGTGTAAATATTTTTCCATCATATTGCTTAAATGCTCTCGTTATAAGTATTCAGTTTGCCAAAAATCCGTTTTTTTGTCTTTGAAGCTTTCATTTCAAGAAGGCTCTTATTAGCAGTCATTGATATGCAAGAAGCAGGTTAGGAAGTATTTTTGGTGAGACCGAAAGCCTTTGTCTATATGATGACGGGGGGTTGAAATCCTGTAAATGAAGGAGATGAAAACATATCTCTAATCCTGGAAACGACTTAGGGTGGGAAATCGACGACACCAATGCACAATTTGGTACGAAATGTACAGGTTAGGCCTAAAAAACACAAAATCAAAAGTGTGAAACAAGATATTGACAGGGTCGAAACAGTTAGGCCTACTCACATATTTGGAGCAGTAGGTCTTGACATCTGAATGCTACTTTGAGAAAAACGAGACATATTGGCCCAAAACCTTGATGGGCAACACGGGGTTCCATGCTTTGTGGAAAACTAAATAAAACCACTGGGGAAGTGGGGATTCATGATTGCGAATACGCGACGATGCACTGGTTTTTCATCTCGTAGTGAATAACACCAGTACCCATGGCATCCAATACAAGTTCACTACGTGCTATCGACTTGAATATAAATCTCCCCATGACACCCTCGCTGTACAACCAGTCTTGATCGTTAGTGCTTAAATATATATATATATATATATATTTGTAACAGAAAATCACCCTTTTACTATACAGCCTATATACTGTAATAGCCTACTAAAATATCGCAGCACGCAGGTGTCATACAAGGAATGCTTGCTTGAAAGCGTGTAAATCACCAAAAGAAAACAGTGTGTAACGGCATAATTTCTTCACATTTTAACATATAAATAAGACAAAGAGGTTAAATATCATTAAAATCCGTAGTAACCACTGTGCACTCGCTACAGTGCAATTGATTTCGCTGTGAATATTGTTGCACTAAAGGAAAAATTCCAATATCATCTTGAAGCATTGAATCTAGTAATTTAAAACGAGAATAAGTTAATTTTCTGAAATGATATTTGGAAGGGAAAAATAACAATGGATAAAACGGCTAATTTTTACATTCGTAATTAGTAAACTAACAGTCTTGGGTACCACTTTGTTATGATATCCCAGCGTCGAAAACTACTTTGGTATGTGATCTCACGTGCTCTGCGTGATCTCAATCGCATACCATAGTGGCACTAACTATGGTGCCACTTCAGTATATGGGGTTGGCTTAATACTAAAATGACTGAGATCACACGTAATATACAAAGGAAGGATATGACGTTGCTTGTCGAAGTGTTTGGTAAACTCCAGTGGGTGGATGTAACTAACTTCATGCGTAATTCCGAATTCCGTTCAATTTAGATTTACCAACATTACGACAGCTGTAAAGTGTGCTGGGCCACCTTGTTGAGATATAATGTAAAGAACACATATTATAGTCGATTGGTTGAGTTTTTAGTTAAGTTGGGTTTGTCGATTATGGTTTTATCGATTGTTTAGTACGGGCGACAGATGTTTCTGCGATAAAACCTAAGGAAAACGTATTGAATTCGTAAATATTAACGTTGTCAAAGAATAAAGTAAATACGGTGTTCCTCACGTGGTTATATTATATCCCGCTACTAACTGCGAAGTTGTCAATTGAATGGTCTTAATTTTTAATTGAAGTAGATTGCATTGACTGGAGTTAAAACTTTTCAAATGACCAAACGTAGCTCTTCTCATACTTGATCACAAATAGATATTTGCTACAGGAACTTGTTTGGATGTTTCTTTTGTTTACTGTGTGCGCAAGAAACGGTAATACCCTTTCGTGGGTCGCATCACAATGGTGCAATGAATAACCTCGTTTTATGAAAGCGCACACACGTAGCAATTTCGCCTGAATAATATTCTATTTCCATTGAGTGTGCGCTTGGCATAAATTGCGCGTTCGACTTTTATTATTCTCTGCTCATGAAGCTTATTACTGTAATAGTAACGGTTCGCAACGTTAAATGGCTGTCAAACGTTCGCCATTTGTTATTGTGTGTGTAACGTTTTATAGTCTTAATTATTATTAATTTTATATTTGTTCTGATAATGCTGTGTATAATAATAAATACGAGTTTATTTCGAATCCATAATCAGCATAACAGACGATAAAATGGTTACTAAAAAAAAAAGTAAAAACTGATTACAGGATTATAGAATCAGGGGAGCAAACAATACTTTGAGTAAGGTTTTTAGCGTACAGATTTAAGTTGGAAGGTTTTGCCAAAAGAAGTGGTACCGTCTACCGTACAGTAACGGTACGAGTTCACTCACCGGAAAAGTCTTAAATTAATTCACACACAGCGGTCACAAACAGAGAGATATAAGGAAGTAATACACAAAAACCTTGAATAAATTACATGGTACTGCTGTACTGTAGTAAATTAATAAAAAACTAAATGATAAAAGTTCTTTGTCACACCATATTAATAATTTTGCAATCATTACCAAATTAAATCAGTAAATATAGATTTTGTGAACGGTAAAGAAAAATATTTATCAAAAAAGATATCAAAGCTGATTCTGTGGTTACCGGTATAGTTCAGTAGTTACATGAAGTCAAATCGAAGTTAGGTGCAGGAAGATGTGGACTAGTCACTAGACCACTTAATAGAACTTGATTCCAGAATGGTGAAACAAATCATCAGAAATGTGATACAGTGCTTCCTAAAAAAGAATACCGGTACTTGAGGCAAACTTGGGGCCGGTGTTCATGTTGTAAGCGAATACTTGAAAAAATGAAATCAACTTCAATCAATCAAAATGATATGATTATAATTCTGTTCAATTCATGTTGTTCAGTTGTTAAACTGCAAGCAATACAGCAATAACAGTAGTTTTCATTTAATTAAAAATTGAATGAAAAGAGTTTAGTTACCTGGAAACAATATTTGCAAAACTTCTGTTAATTCAGATGTGAGAATGAAGAGAAATGGTTTATGAGAAAACATTGGTTTGTCTGTTGATTGGCTTTTTTTAGGAAATAGTTTTGTTTTTTGCGTAAACACATGTTTGTGCATAAAAAAAGAACAAAAATAAATATAGATGCTCCTTGACAAGTAACAGGATGATTTTTTCTCAATAATGAAATTACTGTATTAATTGTGCTTTGCTTTTGGAAAGAATAAACCTTTATTAGTCAATGTTGATGCAATTCACATTATCTCACACAGATTATATCATTAATTTTTAAATCTGGTATACTACTTGTACTTTATCATCATGCAACTATCTGACTTTGGCAAATCAGGTTAACAACAACTTAGCTGAGATGAGGCAATTTTTGTTCTGGAATTTCTTCAGAACACAGTGAAGCAGAACACAATAATTGCATTAATTTTTAATGTCATGATTCTAAAAAAACTTCCAAAGACCCCAATTTTAATTGTATCACCCTTATCCAATTTAGTAATACAGTAATATAAGTTTTCATGCTATCAAAGTAAATTCATGTACTGAGAATCTGGTATTTTGTTTGCTTTTAGCGCCGTAGTGATTTTCTGGATGTTATAATTATTGTTTTCTGTTTCCAACATATTTTCATATATGTTAATAAATAGCAGAAGGAAAACGTTAAAATTAGTCATAGATGTCTCGCTAAGTAAATTAAAAAGATTGGTACCATTTACCAAATAAAAATTGAAAATATGTATCTTTAATTCTTATATATATTTACAGTCTGTATAGGTATTTTGTAAAACTCAAATGAGTAAGAAAGCACTTCATTTGCTAACATGTCCGGCCAGGATGAAGCACTTTACAGAATTCCGCTTATTTCTACATCCATGTTTTGGACCCCAGAACAATGTAACAAAGTTGGAGCTTGGGGCTAAACCTACATTCGGCAAGATAATGAAAGAGTAATATATGGACCGAGCGTATGATTACGATCCACTCGTCATTATTGCCACCATAGAAAATCCTGTTGTAAGAAATAAAGAAGGTGAAGTTCATGTATGACGCAGTCTGGGGTCAGGCAAAGCTCAGCTATGCTGAGGAGAGAGATTCGTTTGGCTCAGGATCCCTTCCCACTTTATCCTGGTGAAATTTTAAAATCTGCTGTTTGTGCACTGCGTATTGTCCCTGCAAATTCTGCGTTGCGTATGAGAGCGGAACTTGATTTTACTGATGGTGATGTTAAGAGAGTGGCTGGTGACGAATGGTTATTTGAAGGACCAGGTACCTACATTCCACGCAAAGAGGTTCTGGTAGAGGAGACTATCAGAGCCACAGTGATTCGCAAAAATCAAGCAATAAAATTGCGTGCGAGAAAAGAAACAGTTGATCGGGATGGCACTGAGCGTGTGACTGGGGAGGAGTGGATAATTAAAAAAGTTGGAGCATATTTACCCGGAACCTATGAAGAAGTTGTCGAACTTGTGGAGGCATATGTTCTTACTGAAAAGAAAGCTTTGCATATGAAAGCGAGTCGTACCTTCACAGACTTTTTGAATGTGAAACGAAAGAATGGAGAAGAATGGTTAATTCGTATGTCGGACACGGAATCTCATATTCCAGATGTTCATGAAGAAGTCTTAGGTGTTGTTGATATAACTACTTTGAACAGTAGACAATATTGTGTGATAGTTGACCCAGTTTCAGAAGATGATGGAAAGAACCAACTTGGCAAGCGCAAACTTGTGAAAGGAGAAGCATCTTTTTTCCTTCAACCTGGTGAAAAATTAGAGAAGGGCATTCAGGATGTTTATGTGCTTGGAGAAGATCAGGGCCTTATATTACAAGCAAAAGAAGCTCATTTTGATGATAGCAATGAAATACAGCGCAAGCCAGGAGACAAGTGGATGATTCGAGGACCCACCGAATATGTTCCATCCGTTGAGGTCAATGTATTTGCTAAAAGAAGTGCAATTTCTCTCGATGAAAATGAAGGTATATACATACGTGACCTAAAAACTGGTAAAGTTCGAGCTGTTTGTGGCCGCACTTACATGTTGACCCATGATGAAGAACTTTGGGAGAAAGAGCTTCCTCCCAATGTTGAGGCACTAGTGACATCAGCTATCGATCCTTCGGCTGACAGAGGGATGTGGGAGAAAGGAAACAAAGGCCCCTCTCAATTACGTCGTGATAAAACAAGAGTAGTTTCTTATAGGTTCCTCATAATGCTTGTGTACAAATTTATGATTACAAGGAAAAGAAAGCACGAGTGATATTCGGACCTGAGCTTGTGATGCTCAATCCTGATGAGCAATTCACGCAATTGTCGCTCTCGGGTGGAAAACCAAAACGTCCGAATGTCATTAGGTCGCTTGCGTTGCTTCTTGGACCAGATTTTTGTACTGATGTTATTACCATTGAAACTGCTGACCATGCACGTCTCTCATTGCAACTTGCATATAATTGGTATTTTGATACAGACAATGCCCGAAAAGACCAGAAAGATGCTGCAAAATTATTCAGTGTACCTGATTTTGTGGGAGATTGTTGCAAGGCAATTGCATCTCGTGTAAGAGGGGCTGTTGCTTCTGTCACTTTCGATGATTTTCATAAGAATTCATCTCGTATCATTAGGTCTTCTGTATTTGGCGTAGATGAAAAAGGAAAAGTTCGTGACAAGTTCGTTTTCCCACAAAATGGGCTGACTATAACTTCTATCGATATCCAGTCCGTTGAACCTGTGGACCAAAGAACCCGAGATGCTCTGGTGAAATCTGTTCAACTTGCTATTGAAATCACAACAAACTCCCAGGAAGCGACTGCACGTCATGAAGCAGAAAGGGCAGAGCAGGAAGCAAGAGGCAGACTTGAACGTCAAAAGATTACTGATGAAGCAGAGGCTGAACGGTCCAGAAGAGATCTTCTGGAACTTCAATCATTGAGTGCTGCAATTGAAAGCACAGGGCAAGCTAAGGCAGAAGCACAATCAAGAGCAGAAGCTGCTCGATTGAAGGTCAAGCTGCTGTAGACCAAGCAAAACTGAAAGCAGAGGCAGCACGAATCGATTCAACATCTGAGTTAGAGCGCTTGACCGCAGCCCGTGATGCAGAACTGAAATATTCTCGTGAGCAGGACGAATTGGAAGTAAAGAAACAGAAGCAGTTAGGTGATATCGAGACAGAAAAATTCAAAAATATGGTTGAAACCATCGGACCGGATACTATTTGCAAAATTGCTTCTGCCGGACCAGATATGCAAGTGAAAATGCTGAAGGCCCTCGGTTTAACATCAACTCTGATAACCGATGGAAATTCTCCAATAAATCTTTTCAACACTGCTCATGGTTTGATTGGCAGTCAAGGTTTTCAGTCTTCTGCTGTTGTGAGAACACGACAAGATGAAGATGATGACGAGTGATTTCCAATACAGTTGAACAGTAGTTGTCAAATATTACTGTAGCTTCAAACACATAATCTCTCCCATGTATGACGTATCAACAATTTTAATCAACAGTGCACTATTAAATAAGATGTTACTTTGTTCATTTTTAGTTTCTTATTTCGATCATGTAACGGTAACCTATCTATCTTAACCCTTTCCACAATGTTACTGATATATTTTCTATGCACGACACGACAGGCAAAGCACAGCTTGAATGTGCCCATCTAGATTAGAACCTGTTTTCAACTTAATTTGTATACAAGTTCTATTATACTAGTTACTCTTTAGCACATTTATTCTCAACCGATATAGGTTATGTTGTAGATAATAAATATTCAAGTGTGTTTATTGTATTTAGTTGTATTGTGCTTGTCCAAAGTTAAACATAATTATCTCACTGAAAAAAATTCGGAAGTGACATAGCTCGAAATACCAATAGTATCATCATGAGTTACTTTTAACTGATGAAAATCTGTTGGAATTTTTATTTCATATACTGATAAAAATTAAAATGTCTAGTCCAGATTGTAGAGAGTGTTATCAGAAGATGAACTTATTATATTGCAACTTTAATGAGATGCAGGTCGGACGTTCATTTCTATTCAATTATCATGTGATTGATCGCCAGATAACATAAGATGATGAAGCAAGGTCGATGCGGGTTGATGTCTACATTCCAACATATACTCCCGAAGAGGATGGGCATTTCGAATCGACTAACAAAAATTTCGAATCGCGCTATCCAGTTTTTGTCGCCCGTCAGTGATAGAATCTAAATTTTAGATGAACCCCCCCATTTTTTTTATTGAAGCCACTTCTGACAGGTGACTCTTTCTCGTGAGGATTGATGAAATGTGTTTCCTATTGTGCTTGAACACCCAGGAACTGTCTGAGTACTTTTCGTTAAGTTAGTGATCCCATCGAAAATAAAAAAATCGCATACAAATGATACAATTGCATAACTTCAGTATTTGTAAATATTCGAATGAATGAGGTATTTGAAAATGACAAGCCCACTTCCGACTTTTATCTATGTCGCTGAGAATTAATCAACTGTTCTCTATTTTTGGTGATTGAGCCCCGTGGGTACAATGGTTTACGGTGCGTTCCTACTTATACTGGCTTGTAATTAACGGCCGCAAGTGTCTCATTTTTGCATTATCAGTTTTGAGAGTCATCATCTACGTTTCACCCGGCATCGAAGCGCAGACGTCACCACAAAACTACACAAAAACACCGACAAACGAAGCAGAAGGCACCTAAACCCAAGTGCGGTCGGCCCAGTATGTTCCCCAGCTTTTCTCTTTAGGGGGGGTGTTTCAAAATTTAGGGGGTGGTAAATAATTTGCTGTTAGAGATAAAACTAGGCTATTTGCATTCTTAAAAAATGGTATGTATTTAAGAAACGATGTACATGGGGGGCCCCCAAGTTGATTGACGGCGAGCCAAAATCCACAGCAGAATGAAATTGTAGGGCCAGAAAAGGGGAGCGAGGAAAAGTGCGGGACGACACGGCCGCGGCCTGAGAAAATTTTGAGAAATAGGCTCTAAGCTTGATTTTAGATACACCTAGCATCGCAGTTTGTTATGTAATAAAATCAATAATTATAATATTTAGCTGATTGAATTCTCGGGGAATAGATAACAAGCACGGCTTTCAACCGAAAATATATACTACTACGTTTCAACAAGTAATTTGCGACTGATAGTGACTAATGAAGTTACTTGCTCATCTGCATTGTATGAATGGCTACTTATGGCTTGTTTTGTTACACATTTCTAATTTTTTTGAACATGTTTGTTTGACTTTTGTATGAATTAAATTTTGAAATACGCTCGTCAACTGATCATGATGTCGCATAATGTTGTATATCCTTCAGAACTGTAATATTTTGTAAGGAGACAAATCGCTGAAGTTTGATTCTTTTCAATAAAGAATAAAAACGCTGTCATTCATCTAAAACGTCTGTTTTCAGTTCCTAGTTTTCGTTTTGTGACATCTTTAAGCTTTCTTAATATATGGCTGATATCTAAAATACTGCAGTGTGTAATCATAATACCCATACCTATACATAAGATACCGGAATAATTCAATTGTTACGAAATAAACGTGCTTAAAATATAATGATGTAACAATAGACGGTATCTAAAACTCAAAAGGTACCACATGAAGGGTTAAACTATTTCACTCAAGTTCGGCGGGCCATTTTAAACCGTCACGCGGGCCGTAATTGACCCGCAGACTGCGGTTTAAAACCCCTCAGTGTTGAATCGCACCTCAAAATTAGGGGGGGGTGTTCACCCCCTATAGGGGGGGTGTAGGGAAATCACTGGGTCGGCCGACCGCGCCTACATTCGATAATGATCGTTCCACGGATTCACTTGCGGAATAACCTTGCTATGAATTTTACTTCCTCTAAAAATCAAATTAAGTTTTATCGTATTCTCGGCACGCAAAGAAAATACACTTTTGGCATTTCAGGGCAAAAGGTGGCGCGAGAAACCAAAACTGGTTAACAAGCAGCGACACCTATGATTAAGTCCAACAGTAATTAATACATAAAGGATAAAAAGTCAAACATTACATCATGAAAAGAAGCAAAAAGTTTACAGCAAAGTTTGGTACCGGTAGTACCGCAACGGGCGGTGTGTGTACAGAGAGCAGGGACGCAATAAACGCAGATTACCGCTTACTGAGAATTCCTCATTCAAGGGAACTAATTAAAAGTCCCTATGACAATCACGAATGTGGTTCAACGGGTTACTCTGACCTTTCGGCCAAGGTTAGACACTAGCTCCTTCACTTCGCAGTAGTTCACCTTCCGCTGATCCAAGAATTCACGAATTTTGCCCTAACTGATGCATGTCGAGGGATTTTTAAATCTTCGAATTATTTCAACCTATGTGCCCAGTGGCCCTGATGCCTGAGTGAAATGAAGTTGGCTGCGATTGATTTGTCAATGAACTTCTTGCCGTATATGTAGATATTAGCAGTTTGGGTCGAAGAGGCGTGAGTTGCGTAAGCTGACCAAAAGATCATGTTTTGACCAAAAATCAGCTCCTATTATTGGTTGAGGAACACGTGCTATTTGGAAATTGCAGAAATTTTCGATAGTGTTATCTAATACGAGATTTAGAGCTTGTTGATAATACCATGGCTGGCGGCATACAACTTGGCCTGGAGCTGACTTTGATGACCGTCTGGTCGTATCTTTACCTCCTGTCTATACCAAACTAATTTAATACTTGTTGTTATTTTTTTTATAACGATGGCTGTTATTTTATTTTGGTTGACGAAAAAATAAATCTCTCTGATCGGAGTCGGTTGTAACATTTCAAATGTGTCGAAACCTAGGAAACTGTTGCTAATATAAAAGTCTAAAATCAGTCATTCGTCAGTAATAAAATCTTTAGGAACCTTGATTTGCGGCTTCTTCGACACTTAAGGTATAATAATAGTTGAAGTGGATCTTGATCACGTAGGGATCTCTAACTTTCTGTAGGGGCGTGGTATTATGTTTTCATGACTCGACGCGTGCCGAGACTGCGGTTCCTTGACTGTAAGCTTCCAAGTCTCTATTTAAAACGTGTAAAATTTTGGCTGTGTATTGTATTCATTAAATAAAGCGGCAATTTTAAAACAATATAAAAATAGCGATGAAACAGTGAGATGACTTAACCCAGTTTGAGACAGTAGTTTGTTGCAGTTGAGATGCGTGTCGCGAGATATACACTAATCGAGTATCAATCAGGAATACGCACCGAAATCGAAACGCGTCAACACGCCACTCGGCCTATCAACGGTCGACGCGACCCTGGCCTAGATGTCGCTATACATCTACCTATCTTAATCATTGAGACGAGCATATCACTCTTGGCAGAATCAATCAGATAGCTGCGGTCGGCCACTGCGAGGCCGGCCGACGCGGGCTTTCGTATGCGGCCTAGCCCATCGCCTGCGCTGACCGCAATATCCACGCATTTGCCAGGCGATGCTGAGCACAGCGCCTTGCGTTTCGTCTACAAGAGCCCTGTCGACCTCCTGCAGTGGTGCCTAAAACCCGGGCATAACTATGCGAGGAGCATAATTCTGCTAGGGCTAGGCCGACTAGCGCTCGGGCCAGGCTCTCGTTCAGCGCAACCTACAAAGTCCAGCAAACGGCTCGCTCATTGTACGCGCGTACGGCGTGCGTTTGTACTCGCATCGCGTTTACGACGACTTAGGCCGCGAGACGAGGCCTCTAACTTTCCGTTTCGTAGCGCACATAAAAGAACTACTTGGAAATAATTTTAAAATGTTTCGTAGAAATTTAGTAATAAATAATACCTTGTTCCAATTTCCAAAAGTTGCCCGTTTTACGAAAAAGACGCTTTTACTACAAGAAATATGTGCCACCATCTGTCCTGTATTCTCCGTGTTTCCGGCAACATTGGCCAATGATCGCAGACTTCTGCGTGGCGTAACAATAAAATTTTATGAGCTGGTGGCGGTCGGATGAATCTCAGTTTGTACTGCTCGCTCTTGCGTTGAATAGCCTTTCCATCGTCTTATTTAGTTATTATCAGTTAAGTTATGCTAAGACGGTGTTAAAAAGTATAAGTAAGCTAATAAACACCTGTAAATTCTTACCATGGGTAGCAATTTAAGTTGAACACTAGCTCATATAACGTTGTTAAATAGAAACGATGCGGTAACTTTAAAAAAGGCTAGACCTAGAAAGATATGCCACAAACAACGATATGGGATTTTCATGCTCACGAATATGAATAATTCAATCACGATTCTCAAGTATTCAGCATACCGTAGTAGTATATATTTACGCTTATACTAATGTATAGGCTAGACTACAAAATATTTAATTCAGAAAACAATGATCGTTTTTGTAATGCACGTTTGTGAGGAAGAGGAGAAAATAACCAATTTTACTGATGTCAGTTGGTCCAAATTAGTAGAGACGACAAGAACCTGGGCAGCAATGATAAGTCATGCAGGAGTTATGTAGTCTAGTATGCAAACACTGCAGAATTGTAGTACATTAGATAAAATACATTATGTATAAGAAGTATTGGTTCCAATATCTTTGAACCCTCTTATATTTGCACCCGTACATTTGAACCAATAATTTGCACCCAGGACAATTTCATCTGCATACTTACATTTGCACCCGAACATTTGAACCTGTAATTTGCACCCAGGACAATTTTACTTGCATACTGCATACGAACATTTGAACTCATAAACAATTGCACCCATACATTTGCATCTGCAGATTTTTGCTTTACCCATGAACATTTGCACCCATGGATATTTGTACCCAAAAACATTTGCACTTACGGACATTTGAACCCATGTACATTTGCACCCACGGGCATTTGCACCCGGTACATTTGAACCCGCGGACATTTGCACCATTGGACATTTGCACCCGCACACATTTGAACCAGCGTACATTTGCTCCCACGTGCTTTTGCACTCGCGTACACTTACACCCACGTACTTTTGCACCCACATACTTTTGCACCCGCGTACATTTACACCCACGTACATTTGCACCCATGTACATTTGCACCCGTAGACGTTTGCATTTACGGATATTAGCGTATGTACCTATACACCCTCAACTTTCCATTTCTTTCACCAACTTTTTATGATCATTTATAGATATACATACCGTATATAATCATATTATACTTCGACTGTCATTGTCGTCGCAATTTTCGGTGACCGTACTTTTGAACCCACGTACATTTAAATCCACGTGTATATCCGCATGTAACCCATGGGTTAGGGTTAGTATGGGTTCAAATATCCGTAAATCAAAAAAATTCCATATGTGCAATAGTATGCAGGTGCAATTGTCGTGGGGTTCAAATGTACATGGGTTTAAATTTAATGGAACCCAATTTTCGATATCACACGACACAACCGACAAAATGTTTCACAATTGATGTGTTAGTTCGATCCCGCGCAAAGTTTTCTCTCGCATTATTGCCCTTTCCCTCACAAACAATTTCAAATCTGTTTCTTGAAGCCGTTGCCGCTGCGAAGATGAAAAGTTCTTTTGCGAAAAGAAGTAGGAAACATGGCGCTTACATTTTCTAAAACCTCAAGAGAAAACTACTTACTGATCTACAAAGACCCCGAATATTTTAAGCGAAATGATCGTGTTTCATCAATGCTTTTGATTGGCGCTGCCGCCAGTTTTAGAAATTTCGATGTAGCCTAAGCCCCAAATCGACTGTTGTTACGATCGATGAAAATGTAATGAATGAACTAGGAAATCACAGTCATTCTGGCGACAGCATTAAGACGGAAGTTGGGATCATTCGCTCATCATTGAAAGAAGCAGCATCAGCACCATCGAATACATCGACAAGATATATTTTAGGTGAAGTATTGAATAATAGATCAATAGATGTACTCATGCACTTGCCAAGCAAGTCGATTCTGGATACAATATACAAAGAGTAAAGCGACCAAGGGGGGGGGGGGGGGGGGGGGGGGGGGTGGGGGGGGGACGGGGGGGGGGGGGGGGGGGGGGGGGGGGGGGGGGCGGGGGGGGGGGGGGGGGTGTGGGGGATTCAGTTATAATTCAGTGTAGTCGACAAACAAAAATTTGTTTTCAGTTATCTTGAATTTTCGGAGATTCGAAGTAAGACCATCTAGGCTCGTTACACGAGGATATATGTTAGTATTCAAACAAAGCCTCAATGTTAATTGACTTTTGTTCCAGTACCGTAGCATCGAAAATATTATCAATGTAATTCTATTTACTAACAAACATTACCAACACTCACTTCGAACTGAAACAGCCAATCGAAAGCCTCAAAATGTAATTTATAGTTGGAGGAATGGTAGCGTGTAAGTTTAATATTGACATACCATGTGATTTCGTATTCAGTCACTGATTTTGTCATTCACCAGAATAAAAATTCATCAATTTGGTCAGCTGAAAATTGAACAAGGTGGAGAAGTTTTCGCGGAGCTTCATTTGCGCTTATAGATTCGATGAATTACTTATTACACTGACATAATAATGGCGTAGCATTTGCTTTATTGTGCGCTGATTCATGGTATTCGCACCAGCCTTCGCACGCACGGACATTCATACAACACTGGTACAAATTTATGAGAGTGAAAACTTCTCTTGGCGCAAATGCCCGTGGATGCAATTGTACACAGGTGCAAAAGTATGCGGATGCAGCGTGATATTCTGTAAAATAATAAGGGCAGAAAATAGTAATATTTGAACAAATGCAAAATAAATCTGATATCGGCTTCATCGTATGGCAAATTGAAGACTCTCGTGTCAGTTTAGGTGGAATATAGCACTAGGTAGGTAATAAGCAAATTGTTCAAAGAGAATGGAAAAGTTAAAAAAATGTATTCATTAAACAATTCAGAAATTTATCGGCAGGCTTTTTACACTACACCTAGATTTTTCATAAGATAGTCTCAAACGTGTTTTTTGGAACTTTTTGATTACAGTAAAATTAGCTTTCTTAGCATAGTTCTTATTCCATATTACATTTCAAAGTACAAAGAACATGTCACACAATTCTACAAGAAAGTGTCATCACCACACTGGTGAGAAAACTTATAGCTTTATCATAGCACATTTGTAATGGAGATATTTTGAATTTGTCAGTGGAAATGGAATTTTGTTAATATTGCCGAGTTCTAGTTCATGGCGGAATGAAATATTTTTAAATTTTTTTACATTACCAAGAATATAACACATTGAATGTGTTATAGCTCCTGAACACGTCCCAAAATCAAAAATTCTGCTGTGTGAAAATAAAGTGGAGAAGAAGTTTAATGAACCAACAAGTGCTAGCGAATTGGCGTTCCCTGCAGGTAATTTTAAGCGATTTCTTTAAATTTTATGCAAATATTGGTACAACGTTCTTCTGTAAACAGGTATTGCAACTATGCTGAGGCTACCAATTGCACGTAACACGGATGGCCTCGATGCTTGTTTCGTAGGAGTTCCAATTGATCACGGGACTTCGAATAGATCTGGAGCAAGGCGAGTGTACATTGTTGTTGAAAATTGTTCCGATATACTCGACTGGAATGTCATCAATACACACGTTTGTTTATGCATAACCATTATATACTCTGAGTGCATCAGTTCTATTTTGTGGTTGTTCTAACATAATTCTTCTCTATTTTTTGAGAGGTTTTAAAATTATTTTGAGCAAGCTTGCGTAAGTGCCATTGGTGTTAATAACTGCAAACAAATACGCGGAATAATGAATCCATAATCGTGAATGTTCGTGCGCTGTGGCTTATTGCGTCCGGTGAATACCAATATTGTATGGGTATGAGTGTATATGTTTGGGTCACGCCTTAACAGGAAAAAATCGACACCGATATAAATACTATCTCAAATGTCATCCAATGATTGAATTATTAGTCCACCATATTTTGTTACTACCATTAGATACCTGTTGATTTATCTAAATAGGTCAAACCAAAACTGGCTTATAAATTGCTCATACTAAATATCTCTACTCACCTTCGGCCTTTATTGATATTGCAAATTAAAAGCATTTTGAACACATAACCGGAATAGTTTGTATATTTTCCTAATAACTAAGCTATTTTTCTATTAACTAAGCATCGTCCATGCATTTCCATTTGTGCAATATTTTGCTGTGAATTTAAAATACATCTTTGCACTTGTCTTCGCACCTTCATTATATTAGCTATATCATGTATGAATATCAACTATTTTAAATCGTTAGGGTTGCGTGAATATACCAATGTGCGTAATTGATCACTGACTTTTACGTAAATGATGAGTACAACGAGAGTGTTTTAAAAATAATTTTTCTCTTGCAAATATTCATCCAACAAACACCGTTCTTCAGATTTGGTCCGAGGCAAATCAGATCAGAATCGGTTATTGTTCGCAAGTGCAATATACAAGCCGGCGCTGATCCATTTTCGTCAATTCAGGTATTTAGTAGTAAAAGATTGCTTTATTTTACTTCTTTGGAATTTAATCAAAAACCCATCAAATCTGGGCATCCAACGGAATTCTATTTGCCGTTTGTTTGATGGGAAAATTAGATTCTGGAAGACCGTAGAAACGTAAAAACTTTTTCAGGTACAGATCATTTCTAATAGTATAACTCACGAACAGGTTGCTGATATCGGTGATGTCCGAGTGAATCTTTACAATTTGAAGAAATGTTGTGATGATATCAAAAAACAATATGAGGAAATAATAAAAAATGGTTGTCGTCCATTGTCCATAGGTAAAAATGTTCTATTTTGTATTTTGAAAATATGACTGTTGTAGTTTAAATTTTGTAACGAATCATTTTTTGATAATAGGGTATTGATTTAAATATTTTTTATAAACACACACAGGTGGAGATCACACTATATCGTATCCAATTTTACAGGCCATGGCAGAAAAGTGAGTATAACATTTAATATATATTGAAATTGTATTATGAAGTATTGGTTTATTTATTTATAGCTTTACATACATACAAGTGTTTCTCAACCGGAGTCCATACTGTACATTTTTAAAAGAATAGTAGGTATGGTAAGGAATGGTATATCGAAAGAGGTTCTGGGAAAATTTATTCCCCCCGCGTGATAGACATAATAATAGTAACCTAATAGCCTTCTAGCGACAACAAGAATGTTAAATACTGAAAATTTCAAAGCAAAAAGGGCAGTAGTTGAAAAGCGAAGCAATTTTTTCAACAACAACAACTACAAGAATAATACTAACAACAACAACATAATAACAAAACTTCGTGTCCAATAAATACTTCCTCTTAAATAGCCTTAAAATTCCTACCTGGAAAAAATCTTGCAATATCAAGTTTCGTAGTTTTGACTGAGATATTGGTCGAAACAAGCTTTTTCTAGTGACTTTATTTTTAATTTAGATATGGCCCAGTAGCTATGGTGCATGTGGACGCTCATTCGGACTGCAATAGTTTTGCTAATGGCGAAAAAATCACTCACGGGACTGCATTTCGTTTAGCAATAGAAGAAAACTTGATAATACCAACAAAAGTTTTCCAAATAGGACTTCGAGGCAGTGTGGGAAGTTTAGACTCGTTTGATTGGCAGCTAGATAAGGTATTAAGTTGGATTATAATTGTAAGGTTGCTAGAAGATAATAAAATTTTATCGTGTGTGTATATTTTTAACAAGCACTCTTTGTTTAAGTAAATATTCGGTACTCCCGTAGTATGTGAACCAAGATGGCTGACACCGGAACGCAGTATTTGTACCAGGTTAGGGTCAGTCCATAATTTCAGGTACAAATATTAAGGGAGTCGCTTAGCTAGTCTCCGAACACGTAATAGAACTAAAATAAGGAAAATTGGAATAAAATTAGGACCTAACTCTAACCTGGTACATATACTAGGATGCGCGTTTCCGCCATCTTGGTTCACATACTACGGAGCCAAATAATCCTATTGATTATAAATAAATTTCATAGTACAAATTGTTATGATTGTGCAAAAAAGAGTGGAGTACTTATATGCCTTACAAGGTTCCAATAACAAAAGCTATTGTTTATTTATTTCTCAGGGCTTTAGAATGATCCATGCCAAGGACTTGTGGTATAAATCGTTGACGCCGCTGATGAAAGAAGTAAGAGACGTAATAGGAGAAACACCAACTTATATTTGGTAGAGGATTATATTATTTTTAATTTATATATAAAATATTGTAAATTGAATTGGATCTAATATTGTGATTCTACAGAAATTCAAAATGCACCGCTCTCAAAATATATTATATATACGTTTAAATATATTTATTCGTTACGTAATCATAGCTTAAATAAATAAGGTAGGTTCAAGACTGATAAAACACAAATAATAAAAAGTTTTTTTTAATTCATAAATAAGATACTGCAAGATTGTCGAATTATTATTTTCTAATTAATTAAATTCCATTGAATACATAGCACCATGGGACACGAAATAAACGGTGAGGTGTAGCATCAATAATTTCAATTTATTTCGCAGTTTCGATATAGACGCATTGGATCCCAGCGCTGCTCCGGGAACTGGATTTCCTGAAATTGGTGGATTAACTACTTCTCAGGCACTAGAAATAATTCGAGGTTGTCGTGGACTGAATATAATTGGTGCTGATATGGTGGAAGTTGCGCCTCCCTACGACACCACTGGTAAGTATAAGAACCCCTTTTCAAATATATATGTCAATTCCGCTGATGATACATCACCATGATAACAAATTGTGATGAACTTTTTCCAAGGTGACCTCGGACTGGCGGTGTAAATACTATATAGCTTTATTTATCTTTTTGAAATTTCGTGCTCTTTAGTTTAGATTAATTCAAATTATCTGAATTTTTGAACGAATTGAAATCATTCGTTTGAACCCAGGAGTTTTTAAATGTTTAAACTCGATCTTTCAATTTTGTGCATAGAACTTTAGGGGCTTTTTATTTTTGACAGGCACAACGGCGATAACAGCAGCAAATATATTGTTCGAGATACTTTGCGTGTTGCCCGGAGTAAAATACCACGAAACTCCTGCTACAAAAAAGACTTAACTTTTATTTATTGTTTATATTTGAAATCAATTATAACCCGAATGTCTCTGAAGTAACAAAAATTGAGATAAACTGTAATTCTCCGTTTTCTGCACGATTGATTTATTTTTTCTGCTTCCATTTAAAAATATATATTCGATGCTCTGATATCTCCTGTGATAATCAACTGTTTAAACATTACATCTCTGATTGGTGGATAAAATGTCCTGAAAAAAATCCATCAGACGCATAGCTATCCACAAATAAAATTTAGACTAAAAACACTCAAATGACAAATACTCCAACACTGGGTTGGACAAACTGATACCTATGCTCCTAAATAACAACATTTTTTTTCACTATGGAAACTATGGCGTTTACGAGACGAACAGTTACTTAATAGAGACACCAGAACTGGATATGTTCTCAACAATAACAACACGGAGTAATATTGAATGCGACTCAGTAATTTTGGTTTGCACCGAAAACGATATGCTTACATAGCCGCAGAAAATAGGGCGACAGCCCTTCACGTTGTATTCACGTTGTCACGTTGTATCACCACAGCAAAAGTGAAAACTAAACTAGAAACTAAATTTAATCGCAATCTCATCAAAATTCCTTAAGCTATTTTTAGCTGAAACATCAAAATTTGGTTTTACTTGGTTGTGGCAACATAGCGCGGGCCAGATTTGGCATGCGGGCCGTAGTTTGCCCATGTCAAGTAAGGGTGAGCTTCTCTTTCATTTCTGTGGGCCAGTTGAAGGCTCTCTCGTTTCGACTATGGACTACCAACTCTTTTTTGGCGTGTAATTTATTTCTGTTTGTATAAACTATAACTTTTTGTGAACATTTCTCCCGTATAGTTATTGTGTCTTTTCGGAGATCAATCAAAACACTTATAATCTATTCTGTAATCGTCTAAACAACGACATTTTCCAAGCACGAGATCCACATTGGGCCGCTTTCGACTGTACCATAAACAACTAAAGCATATTTACCCTGGCTTGGCAGAAATTTCCACCATTATTTGACAAGTAAACCTGTTCTCCACAATTTCACTCGAGCATTAATTCTGCCCAGTGATCCCAAAATATATACCACCCCCTAATTTGGAATCACTCACTAATGAGCATCTGCTTCTGTCGAGTAGGCTTATAAGAACTTGATGAAAATGAAAGCTAGAAATTATGATATCCAAAACCAATTGAATATTCAAATATGCTGGAAGTCCATTATATTCGATATGATAAATTCTTGCTTTCAGTAAACTTTCGAAATATCTGAATTTGCAAATTGTCGATTTTAGGACCTAAATTTGGCATCAACCAAGCAGAGCAAAGCATGTGTTCATCAAAATGCATGCAAAAATGTAAAAAACCAATGATCCTAATATTTGCGCTATTTCAAAAGTGATTGGAGCAAAGATAATATATACAGAATATTGTGATTTTTCAGATAAAGTTGTTTTCAGTTTGGAATATATTCTAAACATAAGTCTTTTTCACTGCTTTTAAATATGAAAATACCTATTTTTTTTTAATATTTGTAGGAGAATCAATGATCTCCGAGTATGGGTGGTCATGAAGCACATTGTTTAATCACACCTATTGAAACAAACCAAACTATTTTCACTAATATTATAGGTGAAAAATATTTGAATGACGCGTTTTCAATGAGAATGTTAGGCCGAACGCGTTGATATTCTGTAATGTTTGCCAAAGCACGTTTAATGAATCATTCCCGATTGTTTCAAACTATCAGTGGTATCATTTTCTTTGAAATGATTGCATCAACCATACACTGAATACCTTGGATAAAATAAGACTGTTTGGTGTTTGCAATTAGTTTTGTGATGATCATCTTTTGTATTGTATAGGCCAGGGGTGGCCAACACGTCGATCGCGATCGATCGGCCGATCGCCACGGTCTCCAGCAGTCGATCGCGTCTGATATGAAATTTATTGAAATGCCCCCAAAAATTGTCTCGAACCAGTTGTGTGTTTTGCAACAGGGCGAATACAGTACTTTACATGCGCAAATACAACATAAACACATACTGTATTTGAGTTTGGGCAAGCCCGATAAAGCATATTATCACGTAACAAATGCAGTTTTCCGCTGCCAATGTCTACTAAAATGATGTGCCGATTACCGCGTGTCCAGACTCTAGGCCAGGGTCTACTCTATTCTAGACTAAGTCTAGACTGACAAACGATCCTACAATAACTTCAAGCTATGCGAAATTATTGTCTCACTACAAGAGTAGTGTGATACATTATATTCGCAATGGTAGCAGTGGCATCAAAATGCCCAGTTTGTTCTAATTGTAAGCAAGCGAAGAATCGCGCTTGGAGAAAATTGTAAATTAGATACTAAAGTTTGAGCAGTCATGTAACATTCATGGTTGAGAATATTTATTTTCGCTGTTTGGATAATACTTGGCAAGGTTTCTTTAAGAATTTCAACACTTACGACTGAAAATTAGACAGGTCCTCTATCTGAATTGTATGATTTCAATAAATCTTAAATCAATAATGAAACGTTTACTCCGGGTACAATTAAATATCCAAATCAACAACTTGAATGGAACATGAAAAATACAAATTTTAGTGTCGATTTTGCTAATTTTTGTATGCGTGTGTACAGTTATCTGCACATTCAGTGTCCATTCGTTTTTGTGTAGAACCCTATTGCCGATCAGTCGATCGCGATCTATTTTTAAGATTTGTAGTCGAACGCGGGTCGGCCACCCCTGGTATAGGCGATTCCTCAGATGTGACTGATTCAAGTTGACTTTTTTGGTGCTCCTGAAGTATGCGCACCAAGATGTCGCACACCTTAATCCTAACCTGATACATATACAATGTTCAGGCTGTGCGACATCGTGGTGCGCATACTTCAGGAGGTCCACTTTTTGTTATAGAAGGCCCGTCTGCTAAAAATTTATAAGTGTTAGCATTCTTGCACAACTGATGTTAGTAAAAATTCCAAAAATATACATATATATATAAAATATTCTAGTACATGTAGTTTTCAATCATATACAGATTATGACAAACCTAGTGAGGCTTTGGTCGAAAACTCACAGTGCCTCTTTCCCTAATCCCGAGTGTATTGCACTATTGTTGCGCATGCATTATACAGCGTCATGTCCGATGTATCGCTATGAAATCATTTAATTTGAATGATCAGAAATGATGAAACGTTGTGTTTGCGGCCAAATTTGTATCAATTTATAGTTTTTTAATATATATCAAAATAACTGATAACCTATCTCACTCATGGATCATACTTGTGAATCATACATTAATATTCCAGTCTATTTCAAGTAATGTTCTCTTTATATTGTAAAACCCACTATGTAACAAGTGAACTGTGTATTTAATTGTGAATCATATAATAATATTCTATGTCTTTTTCAAATATGTATAGATACTTATGAATGTTGGTAGCAACTATACAATATTCAGTGCTTATTAAAAAAAATTTCCCTATATTCCTCTCGTGAACTAATTGAGGTGGGAAATGATACTTTTACTTCATGCGCTCGCTGTAATGCTGAATCTGTGATGATATTATTTCTCGTCCCTAATATTTCATTTTTATCCCGGTCATTGCCCAATAAAAAAAATGCTTTTTGCGAAAATCTTTCCATTGGACATGTCCGGGTTCAACCAATACATGATCTCTCAAAATCCTAAATTGCCCTTATTAATATTAACTTCCATAATACCATTAAATTGTCGACTCATTTCTTTATCTTATTTATATTTTATGTTTATTCTCGTTTGCATCCACCTATTGTACTATTTCATGCCATGATAGTCTTATATACAGCATATAAACAAGGGTCGAGAGCCTAGATGACTTTAATCGGTCTTGCACACCGACCCGCACAAAGCAATAACCAATCACTGTCATTACTGCTGAAATATTTTCGTTATTGTATTATGTTTATAATAGTGTTGAGTTTGTTTAGTGGCAATAAATCTCTCTCTAACATCAATCCGTTCACTCTTCGGTATCATTCTATCCTCTATAACAGTTGACTTATTCGATCCGTTACAACATCACAACTCAACACGGACCACTGGCATTTGCGTTACCAGTTTTCAGGTGCACGAATTTAATTAAAGTAAAGTAGTTGCAGTTTGTATAAAAGATTTATTTTGGTCACTCGCAGCCTGTCCACTTCCGATTTTGAACATATCTATAAATTATATAAATTTAGTTTGATTTCGGTCGTTTTTAATCATCTCTTCAACATTCCATTTTGTTATCGTATTATGCTGAATATACAGTCGAAACAAATCTCCTTACTATTGATTTGGCATCCTCGCTGTGTGCACGTGTTTCTTTACCGGTACAGCAGGGTCGTGGTGTGATTTCACAATAGACTGATTGTTTCGTACAGAACCTACCATGCGTTTTGCTCATGTACTTTGATCCGCATAGCCCGAGAGCGTTGTTTATTCTGTGTTGTATTCTGGATGAAAAGCATTTTCAGAGACGAGAATGGGCAATATACGGTAATGGAGAATCAATCAATTTTATTTTGGCCACTCTGAAAGAAATCGAAAATGGAGTGGATTTTAGTTCCGTGAGGATAGGATAGGATTTACATATTTATCCCGAGGAGAGGAAAGCCGATAAGACGGCTTAACCATATGGCGAACGACGGCCTCTCGTCAGGTTGCCATTCCATGTCGGGTGTGGGATTAGTTAGTTATTTGTTTTCGGAAGCATGGACTTGGTGGTGATGGAAGCCAATTCAAATGAATTGAAAGATTTATAAGATTGCATACTTGCTCTTTACTCTTCCGACTATATAGGCTGCCATCTCACTCCGTGATGCACGAGACTATTAACAATGTTGATTCCGTTTGATGTAATAACTCTTTTACGCAGTGTTTTAGCAAACTGAAAATAAATATAGTTTTATTGTCAAGTTTTGGATTTATAAATCACAAAATATGCTGTTTGACAGAGGTAAAGCAAAGGTGAGCTTATATAAAAAAAAATTAATTTAATGTCATGATCATGTTATACCGAGTCTATCTAACTTTAGGAGAAACTAAATTTTGTTGACCCTATAGACACTATCAAGTTATTTAAATCACAAAAAGTGCTATTTGACAGAAATACATAGAAGAGATACAGTTGTTCATACTATGTCATTATCAATCTTTGGAGTTGTAATTAACAGGGACACAGGGAAGCTAAGCTTATACTAGAAGTCTAAAATATTACAGTATATATTACTGCGACTAAAAAGTTTGTGAACCACTGGTATAGACCATGATAATTGACAGTTACATTTCTGAGCTTAGTCGGATTCCTTTTATAGTATCATACTATTTTGTGGCAAAAACGAGTTTTGCTCATAAGATTAAACAAGTAAATTCTACACAGAATAATAAGAACCATTTTATCAATAACGTAATACCTGTATAAATATATCATAAGAAATATAGACATGCTTGTATCCGTAAAACCCGTGTATTTATTCTATTTCATAATTTGTATAGAGATATTCACATAATAACTTAACATATTAGTACCGGCAGACAATTAGAACATGAACGGACTATACCAATAGGATTTACCGCTATATTGATACGATACAGCAGTGGTTCTCAAAGTGGGCATCGCAAATTTTTTTTTGCGGAATCTCTTTTGCTTTGTGAAAATGATACTGAACAAGAAAAGTCTAAAAACGCAAGTATGACGTATGCTAAATTGACTTTGGATCGTTCAAGTAGAAACACTCCGCGACTTTTGTCGCAACTGGGGATGCAATGTTACTAAATGCCGTTTGGGCTTATTAGATAACTGACTAAAATCTTGCTTCAACAATACATTGCTGATTTTTTTTGCCATTTTTAAACGAAATCGACGTAAAAAGAAATTTTAATTCTGAAAATGAGTTTTTGGATTTCCCTCAATAGTGATTATCCTTCCTTGGTAGAAAAAGCGTTGCGCACTTTGATCCCTTTTGCGACTTCGTATTCATGTTAAGCAGGTTATTCGACCATGGTCGTAATACACACAAAATATCGATCTCGAGTAAATGTTGAGAGGGAAATGCGTGCGGCTCTCACAATTCTCACCAAAGTTCAGTGACAATTGTAAAAAGACGCAAGTATTCCCATCCCATTGAATGCAATTTCACCGACCTTGGTTTAGTTTTGTTTGTTCGTTTAAATGAAACTCATTGCAAAAAAGGTCCTTTGTTGAAAGGTATTAAGACGGTTTTCACGGGGAGTCGCAACTTGAACATATTTTTTCGGAGGGCGTCACAATACGAATAAGTTTGAGAACCACTTTGTTACAGTATCGCCACTGGAAACAATTTTTCAGTTTGGGGCTTGTATGGCGTAGTTAAGCAGTGCCGAATGGTATAGAATTCACGTTGATACACTCGGTTGGACGTACTTACATAACATCGTTATTGGAAAGCTAATGTAACAGGAACGGCACGGTTAACTGGTTACTACCATGGTCATAGACCATGATAATTTCAAATGACATATATGAGATTAGCCAGATTGGCTCATAAAATTAAATCAATAAATTTTATGCAGGATAATAATGACTATGCTATCAATGAAGAAGGCAATATACGTATAGATATGACACAGGATATATAGACACCCTTGTATCCGCAAAACTCAGTGTGTACTCAATTTAATTCATTATACATAGAAATGAGTTGCCGTGTTTTAGAATTAATGATTATCCCTCTATATTATTATTGATACAATGTTGTTCTAGCAGTTAGCTAGACGTTTTCGATGGAGGGTTCAAGGAGAAATCAATAAAGAAGTACTGGTACTTATATCCTAATTAGAAAAAAAAATTTCATAAGTATATGATATGGTTATGAAAATATTTTTACAAATTGTGATGATTACAATGTAACTCTTGTTATGAGAATGCTCGCCACACCTCAAAAATAACTAGCTAGCATGCAATAAGCTACATATAACAAATACGTAGTATGTTTCATTCAAAAATACCTTGAAAATACGGGGATGGAATGTGAATATCCAAAAAATGCGCGATTAAGGCCAACAAACAAAAAATAGATTTAATTAGCTACATGCCCCCTCAAAAATTGTCCACGCCCCTTTTGCAAGGTGCGCCCCACCCTTTAAGAACCATTGCCCCAGGGAATATTTGCTGATACATTTTAACGCTAACTTACAGTTTTTTTGGTAGAATATTCAATTTCATGCCGACGATACTAAGAAATGAACACGGGTCCGGTTCTGAAGACTTTGCCATATAAAATTATGAGCGCGCATTGGTGCCCAAACCAACAGCATTATTGAAAACACAAGGGAAAAAGTTCCTTCTCAAGAATGATAAAAATCTGACAAACTTTGGAACAACGTAATGCAATTTTTATCCCGAATATTGGGCGGTAATATGAAAAAAACACGATTTTTCATTGCTAAAATTTATTCTTGTCTTATTCGCTTATTAGCTAGAAAAAAAAACGATAGTTGTCCGAATCATGATATTATAACGTGTTTAGGGGATTCTCCATAAAAATTTTTATTTGACAGATAAACCAAAGCTGAGTATACTCAATATAATAAAAATATAACTTTGTCTGCAGATTTCCCGAAAAAATTACAAATATTCTTTATTGATAGATATACAAGTAATTTACACGATTGGAAAAAGCGAATCAGTTTCAATTTGAATTCAACAAAATAAATAACAATATATGACTATGCGACACATGCTAATAAATTTAGACATAAGCAGGCCTGTCCATGGGACATATTTTTTTGTCTCCTTCTCATCCCATAACAATTATCCTTGTCACATCCCATCCCATGGGATTCCCATTGGAATAAAAATCAATAAATATTGTTAAATTTAGGTTAAGCGTCAAAGAAAAAGGACTACATGTAGGAAGAGACATGCGAAACAGCAATATTTACGGACTTTGTTAACTTTATATTCATAACTATTATACATGTGTCCATCAGCCCCTTCACGAAATATATTGTTAGTGCTGAATATATTTCGCTCTTTATACCTAACAAGAGAGCTATGCTCAAATATATGGACACGAAATCCATAACGAAATGTTTTACCATCATTTTCCCTAAAATCATACGGTTTTCGTGCACCATTGGAAATACAAATGTGTGCTGTCCCATCCCATTTCCATGGACAACTCTGCTAATATCTAATTGGAAAATTAAAAATTCTAGAGTTTTGAGTGCTGTATGAAAAATCTAACTAACAACATGCAGTAGAGATTATATAGGAGAGTTCATATTAAAGCTCTTCTTAATACACATGATTAGGCATAACATGAGGTGACCCGCACTAACAATAGGGAAAATATGACACATATTTCCATGTCTCTAAATTCGAATAGTTATGAACATGGATGGTATGATAACTTTTGAGGACTTTTACCAAGGGGATATGGACCAAAAGAGAGTTTACACTTGGTTGAATATAATTTATACAGTATCGTTTTTGGAAATTTTCTATTATCACTCTGATAATATCATTATTGAAAATTTGGGGCGATTCTAGTTTGAACTAGTTGGGAACATTGATGGCTGCATGGTTATCAACTGTTTCCTACCAGAGCGTGCAAATCACGATGAGCTACAGTTACATTCAAGAAATTGGCCTGATTACTTTATATAGTATGGTAGTTAGTGCGAACTACCATTTGTGGCGAAAACCCTCATCAAATTTATAAAAAAGGCCAGAACTACAATTTCGACAAATTAGGCATATTGGTGTATATATAGGCAACTCTATGATAAACAACAAGTTAAACAATAAGTTTTAATATTAGCATGGTTATTAAGTTGGGTTGTGTTTTAACCGGATTGCACTTAACGAGGCATAGTTCAAATCATTTCAGTATCTCTGCAGATATACACTGCTGGATTACCTTACAGTATCACTCTGAAAAAAATTCACTGTAATCATAACGTGACGCCCTATTGCGATAAAACGCCTTTTATTTATGATGGCCTAATGATCCTATAAACTGACATTACAAGATAGTAATTGGTCTTTCGGTTTGGACGATTAAACGAAACGACAGCAGATGGGACAACACAGCAGTTAGCCCCTAAACGTGCAGCGCTGTACTGACTATGCCATTATTCATCGCATATTGCTACAGGTAATTTGTAGTACAGAATAGTTAATTCCGCGATTCTACGAAATGAACATGGCATGGTTTTAACAGATTTTTCCATATCCAATTATGAGCGCGCATTGGTGCCTAAACTGACAAAAAGAAGACCAATGTAATGCTTTCTTGTGTCTCGACTATTGGGCGGGAACAAAAAAAGCCTAATTTTTAATACTAAAAAATCACCCCCGCCTTATTTGCTGGGCCGACTCAATAGTCAGAATAAAACAGTAGTTGTGAGAATCATGTTATTATGAAATTGAGGTTGTAATTTATAGAAAATTTCATTTAACAGACGAAACAAAACTGAGCTTATACTCAATATATTAAAAGTAATAATTTGTCTGTAGATTTCCCCCAAAAAAATACAATATATCATTTATTTATAGACATGTAAATTGAGAGATTTTAAATGATTTGGTTACATACTTGTTCGCCAGACTTGATAGGCCTCCATCTCACTCAGTGATGAAAACCTGGCACTTGACGAATTTCTTTTGGTGCAATGATAAATTGTCCTGCCGACTTTCAAGCAGTGTTTCAAAACGCTGAAAATCAATATATACGTCGTGATTTTGTGTAAGCCAATTCTAAATTTGAATTAAACTAAATTTCGTTGAGCCAACTATGCCATTTTCAGGTAGTTAATTCACACAACTGTTACTTGACAGAGACACTGCAAAGCTATGCTTATGCTAATGATACAAAAAACCAACTATGTAATTCATTTTAGTTCATTGTCAACCATGTCGCTGATTTTACACCAAAATTACATCCTTTAGTTAAAATGATATGTTAGTGTATCATATTGTACCTCATTCTCAAGGTGAGACTCTTTTCTGAACATTTTTTTTCTAAAATTATACGTAAGTTTCAATAGAATACGTAACGGGTAAATTTCGACATTTCATTTCATAAAATCCAAAACTTAGACAATTTAGATTTTAGACGTATAAAATTTATTCAGCGATTGCCATTAAATTTCAAATATATACTTCTATAACAACATATCAGGTATAGTTTTCAAACTGCACAAATTGCAAATATTACAATAACAATAAAATACCCAATGAAGTTTAACTGTTTCATGGAGTATAATATGACTAATTACCTCTGATTACCTCTAACTTGTAGCATTATCGCATTGTTCACGATAGGGATCGCAAACTGGGGATTTTAGGGGTCGCAAAGAGTACACCAATTTGATACAAGGTACTATATTTATAGTACTTTTTTGGACTTTTGCTTTGAAACACAATTATCAAAACTTGTGCATAATCTAAATCTTACAATTTCGATAGAATGCACAGGATCAAACACAAGCGGCATAACAATGTTGGCTTGCATCGAACTATTTAGCATTTTAAACGTGAACGTGGGTCTTACTTTTTTAGACTTTTGAATCGAAAGACACTTATTAAAACTTGTGCAAATATAAATCTTACAATTTCGAGAGAAAACACACGATCAAATAAGTTACATAACAATGCCGACTCTGATCGCAAGAACGGAGACGAGTTGCGCTCGCATCGAATTGTTTAGCATTTTAATTAAACGAAAACAAATGGTATACAGGAATCAATAGGCGTCGAAAGTCGAATAAAATGTTCAAATAATATTTACTTGTAATATTCCTCGTCCGTTACTTTGTGTCTTCGAATCTTTAACCTTTAATATTTCTGCATCTAAAAAAAGGTTTTAAGATATTGATAAATAAACTGTCGCAGAACTGTAGCTAGCAAATTTAATGGACAGCGGGACTGAATCTATGGGATCTTTTGCACAAAGCTTCCGCCACGTTTTCAAATGACATATTAGTAATTATCCATTTGGGGTTAGGAATGATTTAAAAATTTGAATTTCCAGCGCAATCTGCATTCCTAACTTAAACTGGATAATTACTAATTCTCTTATTTTGAACGTTGGTAGGGTCTTTGTACAAAGATCCAATCTATAAACAATAATATATCAAAGTAAAAAGGCTACGGCGAATCTCTATTAAACCATGGATTTTGCGCTACATTTGCAAAAGTTTTGAAAGTTATGCATTACAGTCATGTGAAGCGTACCATGTTGAACGCAGCTTACGTAGTTACGTAGATCAGTGAATTACGGGTAAGTTTCCTATTATGATAAGTTTATGTATTGCCATATAGCTTTTAAAGTTTGGCCTATTTGTGAGGAAACGATAGAACCCGCTGTTAGTGAGTTCGATACAAAAGAGAATCATTCATCAGTCTAGACTTCTATATTAGGTTAATAATTCCAATTCGCATAGGCCCGAAAACCTTTAATTTACAACTTATACAATAGTAAAATGAAAGCAATATAATAGCAATGAAAACAATAGGTATGGGGAACATTCAGCTCACCTGAATATTGTTTCGAATTCACTGTCATAACCCAACAGTCAGCCTATTCATACATCCTACACAAAATCAAACGTCATCCTAACACGAACATTTGTGACTGACTGAAAGCGACGTCGCTTGTGGCTTCCCGCGCAAAAATATTTGACGAAAAAAGCTAACAGTTGTTTGTAATCAAATGTTTTTAACTGATTACTTTAATTACTTCAGGTTGTCGTTACGAGCCGATCACGCTTCTGATGCGCGATCTCAAAGTTGCAGAATGCAAATGACGGTTGGTATTTGGCTTCATACATCGTATAATACCTAGTTCACAGTAATATTCTCAGGATCTTTTGTACCAAGCCCCGCCCCAAAACAACACCCCGCCAACGCTCGATTTAAATAGAAATAGTGATTATTCAGTTAAGGTGAGGGATGCAGATTCAGTCGGAAATTCAAATTTTTGAATCGCTTCTAACCCAAAACCTTACTGCCTATTTACTTATTTTTTTATTTTAAAACGTGACAGGGGTGTTTATCTCAGATCACACATTTTTGCATCAGTGACGGGAGCTTAGTACAAAGTATCCAGCAATTCCATTACATTTGTCTGTTTATATTTGTAGAGTAAACGCGCACGTGAATGCCATCAAAAATGTAACCTTCCTACAACTCAATGAAAAAATAACGGCGGGTACAATGCACTCTCTGCATTGGCGTACAAATTAGCTCATTGACTTGCGCAGCCAAGAATAATCTTAAGTTTTCATACAATGACGTGCCGGCGATGTCGATAAAGGGGAGGTCATAATGTGACGTTGCTCCGAAGCCTACTGTATAGTAACTGCTCAAGACAAGAGCATACCGATGACAACAAATAATAATATATAGATCAACTCTTCGAGACCATCCAAATATTTGGTGTTACGTAGCTCGTGATGAGGTAGACTGTTATTGACGTGGCCCCACAATAAGAACGTAACAAAAAACAAATTGTTACTTACCGATTATCAATGAGTGAATTGAAATTACTCTATGTAATAACTCGGATGTATTTGCTGCTTCTTAAATTTTATTAAAGCCATTTTGAGTAAACGAATAGATCGTGGAGACCTTAGGCCCGTATGAAGCCGTCGCCTCGCGGAACACTAAAAATGAAATTGATAAAGAAAAATGATGTAATGCAGCGAGTTGCCAAATGCGCCGCAAAAACAGAATTGTGTTAAACATACTTAAAATATGATTGGATATTTTTTGTTTTGTTTTAATTTGAATGCTGTGTATACGAAGCAATAAATTCATTTTACCTTCCTATGTCGATTACTTTTCAATACTTAGTGTTTGCCTTTAATGTTACGTAACAATGAGGTACTTTATTTTATTTATCTGCTCTATCTATTATTATTTATCTGCTGAATCGAGTTTAGCGAACATGAGTAATTTATTCCGCATTTTAAAGTGAAACCAGGCAGAGTTGGAGGAAGAAAAGTTGACATTTTGCTAATATTCTTCAGGCATACATGTTTGTGTACAGCAAAACCAAAAGCTGTAAACCTGTTGGTCAGCTTTAGGCCGACGGTGACGCGATATTCAACGGTCGTTAGTTGGGCGACAACTTTACGATGGCGTGATTGACATTGCGACCAATTCAGCCCTAAGCGAAAGCCATATGAAAAGGATGTCTTTCTTGTAGGCTTTCCCACTACATGGCGGAAAAAATCTCATGGTATATATATCATTTTTTGCAGCCATAGATTAATTAAACATTTACATAAAGTCATCAGCTTCACAAACTAGGGCTCAACTTCATAACTGTGGCCGCGTGTAGGGCTAGTCTAGATTTTACTGGTTGGTAAATTGGCCCGACTTGGCTCAGTTGGATGATGCATCGACTGTCGGATTTTGTTATTTCATGCACAATTTCATTGATCATTTGAAGGCTCTCTCCCAACTTATCAAGCTAAGGAAGGACACAAGAAAATAGATTCCGGCCATTCCAAGTTGAAGCAGTAAGGAAAGCTCACTTGTGCCTTTATGGGTTTAGCTTAGGGTGGGATCTTCATATAAGCGCGACTGAGGTCTGGACTCTGGATTTCCAGTTGGATAATGCATATTTAATACACTGACTTGTAACGATCCATTTGTACACTCAGTGTCCAATGCGAGGATGAGCTGAAAAAGCCTAACACTTGGATAAAAATAATTTTGTGTCTCCAGTATTAGATTTGCGATATGCAGCCTTCCATTCAAACAACTAAACTATCGCACTATTGGATTTCTCCGGCCTCTTGAATGTTTCACTGGGGTTATGCTTCACCAAAAAAAATTCAAAACCACTGGGTTGCATCAATAAATGATTCCATGTTTGATAACTAGTTTAACTGGACAGCATAACCGATTTACTAATCTCATAAACAGTGTTCCCTCTAAAGTGTGCGCGCGCGCACAACTTTCAGAGGCTGCTCACACGCATTGATTTACTGCGCACAGACGTATTTCGATGTAATGTAACAATGTTCTCTGTTGGCAGGTTGAGAAAGTTTGTTGTTGGCCCACTTATTACCCGGTTAGAACGCCAAAATTTCTTCATTGGTTTTTGCACAAATATTAGTCATTTCCAAAAAAGTGCGCACACACAAAAATTTCTGCGCACACATACTACAAAAAATTAGAGGGAACATTGCTTATAAATACCCCACACGGACTGGTAACCTGGCAAGAGGGTGTGGTACTCAGGTTTGATTACGCAGTCATTTCGGTTTTCATCACCCCCGCGGATAAATATGTAAATCCTATCCCTTTCTTACAAACTTTTAGTAATAATATACAATAAACATATATATTTTGATGTTTTGGTCGGATGCATTCCATGAGCATCATACAGGGTACCGCACGAGAGAACGCAGCATGTTAATTACCGAATTAGCCTCGATGAAAATCTGCTAATTAAGTATTATTTTGACGGTGGTGTCCTCGTCAGTAACCGTAGCGCAGGAGTAGCGACTAGGTGCCGTTGCGCGTAAGTCTTTGGGTTCAAATCCAGATAGGTGTTAGCGTGAGAAGGATAAGATTAGTGGCAGAAAGCACACAGAATGGCCATGACGAAGGAAGGAAGTTAGAATCCGGGTAGTGTGGTTAGGTCAGTGGCAGAATGCAGACATAGTGGTCGGAACACACGAAGGAAGTTGTAAACAATGTGGAGCAGGTCGGAGCCAATGGCAGAAACCAGACAGAGAGTCAGCACCAGGGTAAAAAACTAAGTGAAATGAAAAAAAAGCTGGGTTGCCCTGTTGCTGTGCCCGTCAGATTAGTTAAGATTGGATTGCAAACAATTTCTCCGCTTGGAATACAATATACATTTCGCATTTATATGTCGAAGACGGTTCCATTACATTTGAACCCACGTACATTTAAACCCATGACAATTGCACCTGTATGCTATTGCACCTATGGAATTTTTTTTGTTTCACGGATAGTTAAACCCATACTAACCCTAACCCATGGGTTTTAGCACCCGCATATAGATTGAACCCGTGGATATACGCATGGGTTCAAATGTACATGGGTTCAAATGTACGGTCCCCGTCGAAGACTATCTCTCCACCAACGTAGTTTAAAAGATCTCTCACTTTACGGAACAAGCAAAATATTCATGATCCTGCTTTTAAATTATATGGGAGCTCTCAATGGATCTTTTGTACAAAGCTTCCGCCATTCATGAAATGTAAGATTTGATAGAAACAATCCTGAAATGTATGAAATAAATAAAAATAATTATCCAGTTGGTTCGGAATGAAATAAAAATTGTAATGTTCGGCGCAATATGCATTTCTAACTGGATACTTACTAATTTTCTCATATTAAGCGTTGGTGGAAGCTTTGTACAAAACATCCCATTTATAGCCTGTCTGTTCTTTATGCTGAGTTTCTACAAGAAATAAATGTGTGAACTTTTTCCATTTTTTATCCTCAAATTTGAAATCCCAATCTTATACTTCCAAGTATCGATAAGGAGATGTTTCCGTAATTATCGGCTTCTTTATTTACATCGGTAAGAGCGTAGCCAGCCCAAAATTTGGCCCAATTTTTTTATATGACGTATTACGGATGCTTATTCGCCGATTTCGCTACGAACAAGGCAAGATAATAGCAGCCACTGATATCTAATGTCACGTTAAAATCCCTTTCATAGACTTACTTCACCGCGGAGTTCTTCAGGCTATGCAATTGCGCACTTTTGCCAAATCGGATGATTAATTTGGAGGATGAATTGATAGTAAGCCCCAAAACGGCCAATTATATCAGTGAATAGCTCTAGAATAGAGCAAAAGAGTGTTGAAGAAGACGTCCTTAGACCACTTACCTGTGTCTTACTTTAAATGCCATGAAATCGTTTGTTTCAAAATTTCGGATCTTAAGGCAAAAAAATAAACACCCTCGCTACCACTCAAAATTAAAAAAGGAGATTGCGCTAGAAATTCCAATTTTCAAATCATTTCTAGATAAATACTAATTTTTGAAACGATGCGGACCGTTCGCGTGTAAATCGAACGTGATGACCACTACACTACAAAAACGCATACGCCGGTGGGTCATATTATAATGAACAATATACTTGGGAAACTTAACAATAATTGATCGCGTGTTTGGCAAACGTGAGGACTTCTACATAGGGAAACGCATATACCTGTGGTTCGTCGAATCGGCTTGAAACCGACCCTGATGTCTTTCCGTGGTGTTGTGGTCATCGCGTTTGCAAACGGTCCCCACAAAGTGGTTCGTGCCCAGGCAGAAACATGTTTTCCTATTAACATTTCGCTCTAGTCTAAAATCTTTGACGGATCTCGTTCATCCCCGTAAGAAATGGTGCATATTATGGACTTAAGTATCCTTTCTAGTATGAATTAACCCTTCGTGGTAGATATTTACTTTCTCTTAATATCTTAGAATCCTTTTTTGGTGAAATGAATTTTTGCTCAAACAATTGATAATAACCTAATGTATTTCTATCATAATTATCACACATTTGAGAAAAATGGGTTGAAATGCTGAAATGTATCAGCTGTTAAATCTACAAATACAATGAGTAATTAAAGTGTAACGTTAGTTGTCTGCGGTAAACTTATAAATCAA